TTTAATAAAGATATATATGTAAAGTAAGAATTAAAGAAATACTAATATCTTTGTATGGAGCAAATATATGATTGCACACCTAATGAAAGTTGATTATTTACCATTTAACCAAATTGTTTTGTCTTCTAATCTCAGGAGACTCATTACTTTCTTAACCTTGAAGGATGGGAAACTAAACTTAGTACTTACTATGAAAAACCCTTAGACTTTGGCCTGATTAGAGCCTCCAGCTATTTGTTCTTAGAGTTTAAATGCTATGAAGTAGCTTTCTCCTTCAGCTGCTATGGGCCGAGTAGCAATGAGAGTATTGCTTTTTGCTGCTAACCTGCTAGCTTCTTCTCTTAAGAGGAGGCTTTTCAACTCTCAGGTAATGTCTTCATAATTGTTATATTTAAAAAAAAAAAAAAAAAATTCTGTGTAGTCGCTCATCTCTAAGAAATTTCATCTACCACTAATATCTTTACGTTCAGGAAAATCTGAATAGCAGCAATGAAGTTTCCAACTCAACTGCTCTCTCTTCCTCTCCTACTTCATATTAAATTAATGCTGAATCACATTTGCTCAGCCGTGTAATTTCGTACTTGTTCAGGTCATTCTCTTCAAAGGACAAAGCACTTTCTCTCTCCTTGGGCATTTTAAATCATTTAATTAAACAGAACTTTTTATACGTATACATAAAAGTAGCAGATTAGTCTTCAAGAAATAAGTAAGTCATATTAGAGGAAATTACTAAAATTTGAGTAAAAATTAGCAACTAATTGGATGATTTTTATTCAAAAGATAAGAACTATTTTTCTTTGGTGATATTTTCCCTTATTATAATCGTTAGAAGAAAAAAAATTGGTAAGCCTTCCCTGTTTTTCAAACTGCACCTGCCTTCCCTCCTTCTAATTTTTAAAATCATTAACTCCATTTTTGTACTTTCTGGTTTTTAAAATCCTAAACTACCCGTTAAATTTGGAAGGTAGGTGACAACTGTATACATTTTGATTGGCTGACCACCCTTCTGATCTCAGAATATTCATAAACAAAGTTCTGCTTATTCTTATATGCCCTGCTTTCCTCCTGCTTATCACTGAACATACACAATTAGATGGCGCATCAGATGTAGAAAAGTAGAACCAAAGCCATACTAAACTGTAAATATGTGATTCATAAGGATTTGACTTTACTGCTGAACTTCAGGACAGTCAATACCCTATTTATTGTCAGACTGGAAAACACACATCTACACACACAGGCACACAAAAAGAATTCCTCATAGGAAGCATTACCTGGCACTGAATTTTTTTTTTAAATAACTTTGTTCTTACTTTAAGAGAAATGCACTTTCATTATTAAACATTTTAAAGGAAGAAACACACATAGAATAAAGCAAAAACCATCTGTGATGTCATCAGCCATCGTTAAGTATGGCTAGCATTGAGTGGTAGAGCCTTCCAGAAATTTTTAAGCATAAATATATATATTTTATAATTGAATTTATTTTATTCACTCTATTGCAAAAAAACATTTCTTAGCTTCGACTCTCCCCCAAACACCCGCCAAGAGAAAAACTATCATTAAATGTGCATTCATAGGTGCTGCGGTGATCATAAAAATACCCATTTAAAGAGTAGATCACTAAGAGTTGGAACAGACTTGATGATCTTAACAACAGCAGGGGAGTTCTGGTGTCACTGTAGGATAAGCACTGGATGGCAAGGTCGGTTTGAACCACAAGCTCGGCAGTTCAAACCCACCAGCCGCTCCTTGGAAACCCTTACTGGTTCACTTTGATTCAGAAATAAATATATTTTTTAATTTGTCCTTTTATTGTCCTTACATCTTTTCTCACTAACAGAATATTGCAAACACTTTGTTCTATTGTATTCTTTCAAGAAACTAACACACAATTCTTAAAACTCTCTGAAAGGTACTTCGAAACTATTGCTATGTACGACCTGTAGTTAAGAAAGGAAACCATTATGTACTATGTGCCAAGTCTTATATAAATTTTTGCTATTCTCAAATTTAGCAAGAGTGGTTCATTAAGATCAAAGATAGAATTTCATTAGCTGATACGTCCTCTAGTGTGTTTGAAATGTGGCTGACATCATAAAAATTCAACTCACACAGCTTTCAGGAATATTTCTGTACTTGTACGGCATAGTGTAGCATGTGTGAGGAAGAAATGCTAAAGCACCTGAGTCTTAGCTAAAGGGGATCAGTTCCCTGATCTCAAGTGGTGTATTATGTGGCCTGTGGTTAAGACTTGGAAAGTACTCTCTCTGATTTCTTAATATCTTAGAACTCAAATTTCTCTCTCTAGCCTCCTGATCATTAGCTAACTATTAGAGAGACGGTGGAGGTAGCATTCTCCAGCACTCCTCACTTTGCTTTGAATTTGGTTCACAGAAACAACTTATAACTTAAGAATTGTAGAATAGATATGGGGGTGAGGGAGGCCTTATTGAAATCATGGTTCTCAAATTCCAGTGGGTGCAACAACCACTAGTTGTCCAGATTCTTGGGCTCCATCTTCATAGATTTTGATTTAGTATATCAGGTATGTTGTTGTTATTAAGTGCCATTGAGTCAGTTCCGACTCATAGAGACCCTGTATAGGGTTTCCAAGGAGCAGCTGGTGGATTTGAACCACCGATCTTGTGGTTTGCAGTCCAGTGCTTGATAAGACCCAGGAATATATATATCTTAACTTTCTGGAAATAATTATTTGTTCAGTTGTCCTTGAAAGCCATTCTCCCAACTTCTGAATCATCTAAGTCTGTTCTCAAATGTCTACTTTGGGGTTTATGGCAGTGTGCCCAGGAATGGGCAAAGTCATAGAATCAACATGTTATATCTGTCTAGATTGTCAGTGTTACTCAGAGATTTGAGAGCAAAAGAAGGTTAATATTTTAAAGTATAACTTGGAGCAGAATGTAAAATTCACGCGGATTTTTTTTTTTAACAAACCAGGAACTTCAGAGAAATTTCCCAATTAAATCAATATCCCATGCTGTCAGGAATCCACATTAACCCCTTTGGTTGTGTTGTTGTTGTTGTTGTTAAGTGCTGTCGAGGTGGTTCTGACCCATAGCGACCCTGTGTATAGGGTTTCTGAGGAGCAGCTGGTGAGCTTGAATCATTGACCTTGCAGTTCAAACTAATCCACAGCGCCACACCAGGACTCCTGCCCCTTTGGTAGAATATCTTAATTCGGATGCAGTGATGATATAAACAGCTAATGATGTGGAAAGTGCAAATAAAATGTCTTTTTATGAAGATAATTTTGTTGTTGTTCTGTGTTGTAGAGTCCATTGGACCCATGTTGTCGTTGTTAAGTGCTGTGGAGTCAGTTCCGACCCATAGCGACCCTGTACAGGGTTTCTGAGGCTGTAAATCTTTACGGGAGCAGAACGCCTCATCTTTCTCCAGCAGAGCAGCTGGTAGTTTCAAACTGCTGGCCTTAAGGTTCACAGCCCGATTCGTAACCACTACGCTACCAGAGCTCCTTATTGGACCCATAGTGACTGAATAATAATCCTTTGAGCATTCTCTCTTTTTATTTAGAAAAGCATTTCTGTGTTGCAGATGAACTGCCTCATTATGTTGAACCTGAACCATCTCAGGTACCAGAGAGCAGTTCTCAAGATCATCAGCAAGGTAAGACTCCTCTTCTTACTGCCCTAAAAACTAAGACTTCTTCACGCTCTGGTCCATATGCCTCTGAGATAATGAAGACAACTGATGATTCTATATCAAAAGTCCTAGACTGGTTTAATCGAAGTTCTCATTCAGATGACAGGAAGTCATCCTTCAAACATCCCCGAGGAATAGAGCCCAAAGGAAAAACAGACTTAAAATCACAAGCTGCTGTTGCCTCAGTGACAGAAGACTCAAATCTAAAAGAAAATGGCTCAAAGACCCCATCTTCCACCAAAGTTGGATTGAAGCCTGTGGGATCTGACTCAACATTCCAAGTAGAGGAAGATCTGCTCTCTTCTGGAAATTACCAAGATAGCGATATAAATCTTAAACTGAAATCTATAACTTTGCCCCAACAAGGCACCCCAAAGGAAGGAGTAGGCCTGTTGCAGCCATTTGAAAGCTGTGGGACAAGACAAGGAAGTACAAATATGGACCATAGCCAAGGTTCCAAAAGCACAGGAAAAGGAACTGGGATATCTCCCCCAACCAGCAGCTCTTCCTACAGTGCTCTCAAAGGATCCAACACAGAGGGCCACATTCAATGCACCAGTAAGGATCCTGGCATCTTGGGTGAAGAGAAGTCCAAGCTTTGTGACCATGAAAAAATTGGAAGAAATTCAGAAGTGGATTTTGACTCTTCAGCAGTTGTCCAAGAACCAAGTTTGAAAGATAACATGAAAGCAGAGAGAAAGAGTATTCGAAAAGCTTCCTTAGAAGTAGAGAATATTGAGTTGCCACCTGGGACTGACAACACTAGATACTCTTGCAAGAAACCTGAGGTCAAACTACAAGACACTAATGAGCTTTCCAAGAACCAAGTGCAAAGAGAGAAATACAAACGAGTGAGTGATAGGATATCCTTTTGGGAAGGAGAAAAAGCTGCTGTCAAGTTAACTTATAAAGAATCCACACCTTCATGTAGCCAGGGACAACATTCTGCTAACACCAGTCGGCCTGTGAAATCACTGGGTATGTACAATTTATCTACAGGCCAGAGTGAAGATAATCAAGTCACTGCCAAACGAGTGGTCCTAGATGAGGATGGTCAAGCACGTCATATTTCTAGTTTTTGTTCCTCAGATAAACCTAAGGAGATCAGGCCTTCCAAATCAGGAACATCCAACATAAATGAGTCTATGAAAAACTTGCCAGTGGCAGACAGTTTGCATTCTGGAAGGGACATTTCTTTATTGACACTGCAACATCCTTTAAGCAGTAGCCATGACATACATATTCCCTTGGAGAAAGACAGCTCTCTAATTGGTGAATCAAAACCCACATTTAAAGTTTTGTCCCTAAAAGAGAGAATGGATGAAGCCAACAAAGAACAGGTCTATAATCACTCTCAGTTTGAGAATTTGAGAAAGTTTTGGGACTTAGGATCTAATTCAAACACTGAGTCCGATGTTGAGAAAAAAAGTGCCACAAGAAGCCATAAATATTCTGTGCTTTCTAATAGCCACAAACACAAGGAATCCAGTGACATTAAATCATTTGAGGAAAAGATCCATGAAGCTGAGGTGCTTCAAAGTCATAAAAAAATTCCAGAAAGAGAGGAAATGGAGAAATTAAACTCAAAGTACATACCCCAGGTGCTACCAGATGAAACCACACTTTTATGGAGACCACCCAGAACATCCATTCATCAGTTACCAGGAAATGAGTCATCAAAGGAAAACGTGGGAAAGAATACAGAATGGTTTGTTACTCCAGTAACCAAGAAAGACAAAGATTACTCAGACCAAGAAATTGAAGAGTCCATAGTGAAAGCAAGTATTTTGTCTAGAAATTACAAAGACACTTTTAATGACAGCCTGCAGAAGCTGCTTGCAGAAGCATCATTACCAGCAATCCAACCTCCTGGTGGAAAAGCTCATGTAAAACAAGAACTTGAACCAGGCTTTTCTGAAGCCATAACATGGTCTCCAAAGACAGATTTGACTGATGTTGAAAAAGCCAAACAACCTAAAGAGATCATTAATGAGCATGTAGATAAAACCATAGTTCCTCCAAAGGTTGAGCATAACACTTTCAATGCTAGTTTGGACAGACTCCTAAAGGAAGCATCTGAAATTTCACTCTCTCCTTTGCAAACTAACATGGAATCTGTTACCACTGGAACTACCTCTGACTCTGAAGAGAGTAGGTTTTTGGGGAAAGTGATGGAACGGAGTCACAACACTTTAGACAAGAGAGGAATAATAGCTTCTTTTCCAGAGGAAGGCGAGAATTTGGTAAATGCAGCTGTCTCCCAGAAAGTTCAGAGTGGTAAGTGCCAGCTAAACACAGAGAACTTGATTCAGATGGCTGTGGATGCTTCTCCCCATTGTCATAGAAAAGACTCTTTTGGTAACAAGGCCACATTTTACCAAGATCTGCCTTTTCCCCATGATGCCCATCTTGTTCCCCAAGATAGGGCACTGCCTTCTCAAAGGGAAATTTCAGAAACTGTAGAAAGAGTCATCCTTCCACCCAGAACTGTATTGAATGATATAAATGCAACATTAAAGAAGCTACTTAGAGAAGTTCAGTTGAGTTATTCAGCTGGGGGGCAAGTCTTCCCTGGAGAAGTGGAAACAGAATTTCCTGAAGGAATACAGGCATCAGGTAGCCCCCAAGTTTCTCTGGGAGTTATCTCACCAAGAGCTACAACCATAATTCCAGACAGAAAGGATTCTTATTCCTTCAATTCAGTTCCTGATAAAACTCATATAGTTGGACCTTATGTAGCACCCACCAACAGAGTAGCCCAAATGTCTCCATCAGAACAGAGCCATAGCTCATCTGATTCCACTGTTGCTCTGTATAGCAAAGAGCTATCTCGGGAAAGGGCAGGAAATGTGAAGGAAACAATTATTCAACCTAAATTACAGCTCCTTGAATTCAATGCTAGATTAGAAAAATTACTAGAAGAAATCACTGAACACTCCCCCTCAAATTGTGAAAGCAATTCAGAGACTCTTTCTCCATTAAAATTAATAGGTAGTACTGAGGAGCCCAGGCAAGTTGCTTCTGAATTTCATCCTGAGGAAATAAAAGAAACAGTAGAAAAGTCTGAGGCTCCATTAAAAACTGAGAGTGTTTTTGATAATAGTTTGCAGAAACTCCTGCATGAACTGTCTGAAGCTCCTCCTTACCAGCACCAGATGTCAGTGAAGGAAGAAACTCCTGAGACGTCCTCGCAGTCAGAGAAGGCCAAGTTCTTGGATACAGTGCCTCGTTTTTACTGGACAGCTTCAGAGGCCTCTGAAGTGAAGGTTAAGAGTAATGTTTTGAAATCTCAACTTCACCAATGTGATAAAGAGTTGAGAGGAGATAAAGATGTGACTGATTTATCATTAGATCTCTGTAGTCCAGAATGTGGGGTTGAGAGCTCTGGTACCTCACAACTTTATGTGGACAATGAAATAGAGACAGTTAAAACTACAAAGTCTTCAGAGGACAGGAACAGGGAAAGTAAGGTGGCAGGGAAAAAAGGGAATTTTCAGGAGCCTGACTTCCAAGAGACTCCTGAATCAACTAGTGTGTCCAGAAATAGCCAACCCATTCCTCTCCTGATGAACCAAGAAAACCCTACAAAAGCAAGTAAAGTTGAACTGTTTCTGGCATCTTCATATAAGACAGAAGAGAAAGAAGAAGAAAAAGGTTTCTCTGACTCTGATTTTTCAGATGGGAACAACGGTTCTAATACAGAAAGCTGGAGAACTACCTCTAGTGAGCATTTTGAAAATTTTAATTCATTGATTAATGAGTCTGTAAAGAATAGTACACTTTTTTATTAGGATTAATTTGACCCTCCCTGATGTTGCTAAATTCTTACTACTTCAGTTCTTCTGAGCCTTTAATCATAATAATAATAAAATGTACATTTCATTTTATATTCCTTAACCAAATGAGGAGCATTGAGACAGCTTATCACAAGGCTGTTTTAGAGTCTGATTTTATGTCTACCAATAGAATTTTTAGGTTTCAAAAATATTTTTAAGGACTTTTAGGGGTCAGAAAGTTTCCTTTAAAGCTAATTTTTCTCTTAGAAATGCTGAGACGTTCTTTCTTAATTGGCCATCCACATAGAAGTCTCCAGTAAGATTTGTGACAAATGGTCATTGTTGTTGTTAAGTGTTGAGTCAGTTCTGGCTCATGGTGATCCTGTATAGGGTTGCCAAGGAGGGACCAGTGGATTTGAACCACTGACCCTGCAGTTTAAGCCCACCTTGCAGTCCAGTGCTTATGCTGGACCCCAATATTGATGGCTAATGCTTAGGACAGAGTTCAGCATTAGGATTTTCCCTTAGTTTGTGATGGGAGTCTTGCTGTGGCACTGTAGGATAAGCACTGGACAACTAGGTTGGTTTGAACTGCAAGGTCGGCAGTTCAAACCCACCGGTCGGTCACTCCTTGGAAACCTATACACGTCACTTTGGGTTGACGGCACTTGACAACAACAACAGTTTGTACTGTGGTGTTCTTTTTGCCACTCTCTTCCTCTCATTTTCAGGAATTGAATAATCTTAGCTATCTGCAGAATCTTCCCCTTCAAGAGTATGAGTTTGGTGAGGTGACTTCACCTGATTGCACCGAAGGTCATTGCCTGACTTGCTCTAGCGTTTGGCTACAGCCATGGCTAAGTTGATGGAGACCTTACTTCATCACCACATTTATCTAAGTGATCTTAAAGAGAGTGCTGGTTTCAGGAGCGCTATAAAAATATAGAGCCGATGTGCTTGCTATTCTGATCAACAACTGGCCAAGATACAGGGAACAAATAGAAATGAGATATTATCTAGTAGAATGATGACATGATAGAGCATGCTCTCTGGCTCAGATATTTTAACCAAAGTTGTGCAACCACAAGTTTTGATCACTAGTGTTTAATAAAGTTTTTCATTTTCTAGCTCTCTTTGGTTTCAATGAGAACAGACAAGTTTTATTGAGTGACTGATTTCTGAGGTTTGAGCTCCCTGGCAAGTAACTTTTAAGCCCTATTCTTGAAAACGAATTAAAGAGTCAACCTTTAATCCTAAACAACATAAACCTTTTTTTAACAAACCTGGCTTGTAAGAAAAGAAATGCGAAAATATTTCTAGTCTCTAAAAGCAGACATTTGTCATTGCTGGTGTTGTTAAGTGCTGTCAAGTTGATTTCAACTCAACCTATATAGGGTTTCTGAGGAGCAGTTGGTGAACTCGAACTGCCAACCTTGCTGTTCTTACAGACCTTGCAGTTCAGCACATTAACCTGCAGTGCCACACCAGGACTTCAGAAAACAGACATATGCAAGAATATAAGCTAGCATGTTAAACTTGTTGAGGTAGACTCTTGCTAAACTACCCCATGAGGAATGAGAGTAAACTGACCCATAAAAGGGAGAGTGCTTGCAAATTTGCACTTATTTGGAAATTGTTGCCTGTTATGTATAGCCATGTTTACAGTTATTGTTGTTGTTATGTGCCGTGGAGTCGGTTCCGACTCATAGCGACCCTGTACAGAGTTTCCGAGGCTGTAAATCTTTACGGGAGCAGAAAGCCTCATCTTTCTCCCGCAGAACAGCTGGTAGTTTCGAACTTCTGACCCTGAGGTTAACAGCCCGATTCGTAACCACTACGCTACCAGAGCTCCTTATAGTATACTCATTTAATTGATTGAACAGTCAATAACCTACCTAAAATGAAATAATCAATGTTAAATGGCTATTCAGAGACACAGAAAGGATTTTAAAAATTATAAGCTGAGTAAGAAGTATAAAAAGGAGCTCTGGTAGTGTAGTGGTTACAAATCAGGCTGTGAGCCTCAAGGTCAGCAGTTCGAAACTACCAGCTGTTCTACAGGAGAAAGATGAAGCTTTCTGCTCCTGTAAAGATTTACAGGCCTCAGAAACCCTGTTCAAGGTTGCTATGGGTCGGAACCGACTCCACGGCACATAACAACAACAACAGCAATCTATTAATTTCAGAGTCCTGGGGTGGTGCAGTAGGATAAGCACTGGATTGCTAGCCACAAGATCGGTGGTTCAAACCCACCAGCTGCTCCTCAGAAACCTTATACAGGGTTGCTGTGAATCTCAGGGGCACTTAACAACACTAACAATCTCTAGTTGCAGACAGCCAAGGGGAGGAACTTAACTATGCAGATACCATAATTTTGGTGAATAAACTTGCATTGGCTGGCCTCTTAACCAACCAATACTCAATGAACTCCTTAAATTAAAAACATTCAGTGGTAAAATACTTTTGGAAATACTATGACATAATGTATATTTTTAGCATATTACAGTCTCTGACAATCTCACTTAAATACGGGAAATCTATTCCCCTCCTTTGTTTTTGGCTCTAAAATGCCTTTACTTTCATAAAATAAAGGTATTAGTAGTTGATAGCTCTGTTGGCATAGTGGTTATGAGTCGAACTGCTAATCTTAAGGTCAGCAGTTTGAAACTACCAGTGGTTCTGTGGGAGAAAGATGAGGCTTTCTGCTCCTGTAAAAATTTATAGCCTCGGACACCCTGTACAAAGTCACTGTGAGTCGGAATCAACTCCAACGGCACTTAATCACCACTAGCTGATAGAGTTTTCTTCTTATTTATCTTGTTAATATTAAAAATGTACACAACAAAACATAGCAACTCACCTGCTTCTACATGCTTAATTCAGTGGCATTAATTATATTCTTGAATTGTACAATCATTTTCATCCTCTTTTGCTGAGTTGTTCCTCCCCCATTAACATAAATTTACTATTCTCTAAGGTTTTTCAAGTTGCTGTTGTAAAAAAGCATAAAAATCAAAACAGACAATCTTTATTTTTCGCTACTTTGTAAAAGTCTAAACCATGTAATTTCTTAGCATAGTTTTTGGGAATTTTACTGGAACATGAAACCCAAAAAATCTACATCCATTGGTATGGAGAACCCACTATACTTGATTAGATGTCTGATGATCTGATGTTGAACATCTGAATATCTCCTTCCCTGGTTTTAAACTTTTTTTTAATGTCCCTAAATTTGGCGCTTCAGGATAAGCACTGGGCAGTTAACCTAAAATCAGCGTTTCAAACCTACCAGGCACTCTTTGAAACCCTATTCAGGGTGGCTATGAGTTGGAACTGACTCAGTGGCACATAACAACAACAAAAATTATTTCATGATTGTTGTTATGTGCCGTGGAGTCGGTTCCGACTCATAGCGACCCTACATAGGGTTTCCGAGGCTGTAAATCTTTACGGGAGCAGACCGCCTCATCTTTCTCCCGCAGAACCGCTAGTAGTTTCGAACTGCTGACCTTGCGGCTCGCAGCCCGATTCGTAACCACTACGCTACCATTAAGTAGGAAGTTTTAAAGCCTGACATGGAAAAAATCATCTTCCTAAAGACAAATAGGCATCTAAAAGATCACATCTCTATGATTATGGTAATCTTGTTTATGATTTCATGTTCGCAAATATTTCTTGACTAGGAAAACAACTTTTTTTAAAGGAACATGCTAAATCAAACAACCAAATCCAGTGTCATTGATTCCATTCTGACTCATAGCTAGTAGCCCTGTAGAATATGATAGAACTGCTCCATAGAGTTTCCAGGGATGTTTCTTGTTTGTTATGTGCCATGAAGCCGGTTCTGACTCATAGCGACCCTGTACAGGGTTTCCGGGGCTATAAATCTTTACGGGAGCAGAAAGCCTCATCTTTCTTCTGTGGAACAGCTGGTAGTTTCGAACTGCTGACCTTGTGAACGGTTTGTAGCCCGATTCGTAACCACTACGCTACCAGAGCTCCTTTCCAAGGATGTAAGCTTTACTAAAACAGACTGCCACATCTTTTCCTCAAAGAGTGGTTGGTGGGTTTGAACCACAGCCAAGTGCTTAACAACTGCATCACCAGAGCTCCTTAAAATGCAGAAATTTTATTTTCTTCTGTGAATTAATTGCTTCTTACATTAAAAAAGGATGTCACCTTTCAAGCTACCATTTCAATGTCCGTTGGTTGGTTAAAAGGTTTTCTTTTTTGTATTGTGCAGCATTCATCGGTTTTGTCTTGCAACAGGTTCAGAAGGAGAACCCAGCCCTGTTTTGAAAACTGTGGAAAGGAATGCTGCTAGGAAAATGCCTTCCCAAAGTCTAGAAGACATTTCATCAGATTCATCAAGTGAGAATCAAAGTTGCCCCACTGTTCATGCCCATCTAAGCTTGAAAATGCTTATGTGCTCTTCTGTGGCATGCTGTGTGCATGCAGATTAACAGATGAGAATAACCTTTCTCAGGTAAACTGAAGAGGCTCACCTTGAAATGGCTGGAACTTTTGTTTTTAAAGTAACCTATAAGGATTGATTGTTAGAACACTCGTTTTCCTTGAATTAGAGAGTCCAGTTTGAGTGTTTATGCAAGTCCATGGAGTTTTAAAGGACTATGAAAGTAGTAATACTGCTAGTAATCAATAACATTGAGCATGATGTGCCAAGTACTTGGCTAAGTGTTTTACATTATCTCATTTAATCCTCACAATAACCCTTTGAGGGATGAATTAGTATCCTCATTTCAAAGATGAGGAAAATGAAACTTGGAGAGGTAAAGCAACTGACTTATTGTCACCAACAGAGCTGGGACAAGATCAGCAGATTATTACCAAGAGCATTTGTGAAATGACATTGTTAACATATGACAGAGTAGGATGTCAGTGAATTTTGCAGGCATTGGAGATGAATTACAACCCTCCCCCCCTTTTTTTTTTCTTTTCTTTTCTATTTTACCTGTTCTTTCCTATGGACATATTTCTTCTGGATTCTGGAACTGCAAAACCCAAATACTGCCTGACACAGAGCACTTTAGACATACTCCTCCCCACTGGCTGCTCCTTTAATTGGTGAAGGGTTTCTTAAGGACTAACAGAAAGCACATTCTATATAGGAACTTTTGTGCCAGGCAAATGGACGTAGAAATCATGAATTTGAGGGGTTTTGCTGTTACTGTTTTTAAGTTTAAAATGTACCTGTGGGATTACAGAGGGTCATGAGAAGACTTACTGAGTGAAACTACTGTCAGACTCCTTTGATGGGCAGCTGACATTGTGATATTATATATCATGTTTTTAAATGAATCCACACAAGTGAGTAAAAAGGAAAAGAACAATCCACTGCTCTAAAAAGAGATTCCCAGGGCTCTGAAGACAGTATTTCTGATTTGGAATGCAGTCTTACCCCTCCCAAAGATCTTGGAATCTCAGGGTTGGAAGGGACCTTGAAGGTCACCCATTCCAATGTCCCTCCAGTGCAAAGCCTCCTCAACAGGTGGCCAATCCCCACACCCTCATGAATGCTTCCAGAGAAGGCAAATCCAGCCTTTGTTGGACAGACCTGATGGTTCTTTATGCTGATGATGGGCCCTAGAAAAAACAAACAAACTCAGCAACAATTGTCCAATTTAACAAACATCTTGACTGCAAAGCATGGGAGTATTTCCATGGTTCAGCTGTAAAGTATTCAGGAATATGTAGGGTTAAATTTACAACAACAAAAAAAACCATCTTCAGCTGACGGGTATTCCAGCATGCTCCGTTTCAAATACCGATACCCACTCTCACACTAGCCTGCCAAGATTCCACTTAGCAGCTGGTCCCCAGTTACATCTCTTCAGTTGACTTCCCAAGCAAGCCTCCCAGAGGCATATGCAAACGATGATGCACACACACAAATATTTGTTAATAGACCAAGGGTTTGAGAAGGGTTTAGTCATGGCTAGCATTTTACCCCTTTCAAAAGAATAGAGAGGCTGTTGCAGCTCGTGCTTTCTCCTGCTGTTGGCTGGCCGATTGCTTGCTCTAAGCTAACCCTCTAACCCTTGGGAGTCAGTGTGCAGCAGTGTGCTGATGTAAGCTGCTTCGGGGCTGAAATGGGAGCTCCCGCTATGGCACTGGCTCAAGTAGCTAATCTACAGAGAAAGTGTTTTGGGGGAAGACATCTTGGTTGTACCCCTCACTGCATCTTGACTAACTGCTTCCAACTCCGGGGGCTCCCAGGGACAGTCTGATTGTTCTTTCTCTCCCAGGGTCAGCTGTGTTAACCATTTGTTAATTTCTCCTGAACAGATCAAGCAAAAGTAGATAATCTGCCAGAAGAATTAGTACGTAGTGCTGAAGATGGTAAATATCTTTATATATTTGCATGTATGTCTGTGTATTAGGTTCTGGGGTGATTTGGGCAGCCACTGGGACGCAGCTGTTGGATAAATAGAAGAACGTCACTTACCACTGTGTAGTGAGTGATGCTTAAGTTATCATAGAAGGACTCTGACTTGGTGCATTTAATACTGTTTGTATTCTTAAAGCTACTGCTGGTAATACCTTGTGAGGATCTCACCTGAGACCCTTGGGCTGCAAGGGTTTCTATAAATAGAAAATTGTATTTCTATGGGTCTGAGCTGATTTTTGCTACACAGAAGTCCTTGCAACGGCAGGAAAAGTAGAATGAGTGCCTGGGTCAAGTTCTTCTTATGTTTGATTTTCAAATCTCAGCAATTAGATTCTGTGAGCTCAAATGGTAAAGCCTTAGGTTCAAAGGAAAGTATCCCAGAACAAGGGTGGGCATCCTGCCTCCGCTCATAACTACTTCTAAGTATAAACCCAGAATGAAATTATTTGATTCTGGATATTAAGGAGCTGAAGATCCTGAAGCTTGTCAGTGGATCAGGTATTGTATGGTTCCGTTATGAAATTATTAGAAAAATAGTGCCTTGGTGAGGGTATATATGAGCATGGATCTGATGTTTATAGTTCAGCATTTGTGCAAATATATAATCCATATTTGTGTGTTGGTACTACTGATTTTTCGTGATCTCCTTTTTTTGTTGTTTTTTTCTTAAACCGTCTTCACTGTATCGATAAAATATGTATTAATTGAGCTTTTCCTGATAAAATGTAACATAGCTTTTCAAAGGTCATTAATCATTTTCTTACTTTTAATCTAATAATTTTGTTTTTCTCACATTTACTATAGCCTCTTTGAAGGGCATGGATTTTTATCTTCGTTTTACAGATGAGGAAAGCTAGAGATAACTAGGCAACTTGTCTAAGATCCCATAGGTAGGCAGTTAGAGGGAGGGGCAGGAATGGAATCTCAGCTTCTTTATTCCTCCTAGTCCAGTGTTCCTTCCCACTTGTCATACTGTGGCTTAGTGAATTAAAAGAAAAGATGCTAAACCTCTCCAGTCTGAATCTTGGATTTTAAGTTGAACAAAAGACCTTTAAAGAAGCTAATGAAGATTCACACTGGGGTATAGATGAAAGCAAGCTGAAAGCCAGTCAGCTGTGCTCTGCAGTCTTAGTTATGAAACTGAATTTTGAGTTTTACTTTCAGGTCTTATTATTCTTTTTGCTAAATTGGTATTTATTCTCAATATTGCTCTTCTGAGTAGATCAAAAAGCAGATCAGGAACCAGATACAAATGAATGCGTACCAGGAAGTGAGTAGCAGGATCTTTTCCACAAATGACTAAACTTTGCCACTTTTCACAGTGTTAAATATACTGAAATAACTAACTCCATTAATAAATAATGCAGCATTTATTATTAATACTAAATTCCTGCAGCTTACAAAACTATTTCATTCTGACAAGGGTTTTATTAAAGACACCTTATTACCTCCCGTCTGTGTTGAAAGATGCTTATTTGTGGTTCCATCAAGAGTTATATATTAAATGATACATATGAGTATGTATGTGCTTATAATATACACACACACATATATATATGTATCTTGACATCTAATACGTGATTACAAAGTATTATTCTGTTTTTGTCAGCATCTCTGCTCTTTGTGGTTTTGCTTAAATCAAACTGCCACCTTTTGGAGTTCTGGTCTGGTACTGTAAGATAAACACTGGACCACAAGGTCAGTTTGAACCATAAGGTCGGTAGTTCGAATTCACCAGCCACTCCTTGGAAACCCACCCTCTACAGGGTCTCTATGAGTTGGAACTGATTCAATGGCACTTAACAACAGCAACAACAATATCATTTGACTTTTCTGTTACCATATGGTCTTGAATACTGGATCTCCTATGGCTTTTATACAAGACTGCAGACATTAAACAATTTGTGCCTTATTTAATTTATACCTTATTTAAACCTTAGGAAGGACTGTACTTTGACAATTGATATATAATATGGTTGTATATGGGAGCACTGTAGCTCCATATAATAAGCACTGGACTGCAAACCACAAGGTCCGTGGTTCAAACCCTCCAGCTGCTCAGCAGGAGAAAGATGAGTCTTTCTGCTTCTGCAAATAATTTTTTTTTTTAAATCTCAGAAATCCTGTACATTACATGAGCACTTTGAGTTGGAACTGACTCAAAGGCATTTAACAACAACAACAATGTATATGTCTCTCTACATATCTTTACAAGCAAAATTTATTGCATACAAGATTTAAACACTGAGGTTCAAAGCTGAAGTTATATTCTATACATACAGCAAGTGAACATCTAAAAAAAAAAAAAAAAAAGTAGACCTGTGGTGACATATATTTGTCAACTACTAATTACCCACCACCAAGCAAGTCAATGCCTTGTATTCCTTTTTCTTTTCTATTTTAAAATTATTCTTAGCAGAGACTACTGTCTTAAAGACAAAACAGCACATTAAAAAGGTGTTTGGCGAAGTCTAGCAAAACAATACTAAAATGCATGTGTGCTGTCTCAGCTTCCCAGTTTCAGCCAGTTTCCTAAATATATGAAGATAATGACTCTGTTCTTAGGAGTCTGTATAGTATTCTAAACAACAAAGACCTTAATGAAAACAGTAACTAATAGAAAGAGCTATTACATAGAGAAAGTGTTGATGCTGAAAGTCAATGCCATCTAGTATGAAAACTAGATGAGGTCCTGCTGTGTAGATGCAGAGCCTTGGCACACGTCTTCCTCCTTTATGCTGACCCTCCATTTTCCCTAGGAAGGAAGCAAGACTCTGGACTTTGGGGTTGTTTGTTAAAGAGGCTTTCCCGTTACTTTTGAACTGGCAGATACTCAAGGCTGGGCATCTTATTTATATATTGCTTGGAAAAGTAAAGGGTCAGCCAAAGAGAGGAAGACACACACACACACCCCAACAAGATAAATTGATACAGTGACAGCAACAATGGTCACAAACATAACAGCAATTGTGAGGATAGCGCAGGACCGGGAAGTGTTTCATTCTGTTGTGCATAGGACTGCTGTGAGTCAGAACTAACTTGTTGGCACCTAACAACAATATGTTTTATTCACCATTTAGTCTGAGTTAAAATAAATTATATATTGCACATATGCCTACACATATGTATCTTTATTCATGACCTTCTAATTGATTTAATATTGGGTAAAACAAGTCAGCTAATGATGTGCTGAACCCTGGGTGAATTAATTTCGCCCTATTTTACAGTATTTCCAAAATGACCTTTAGTGACTAGCTGAGATTATTTTTTTTCTCTAGTGAAGACTCTACTCTTACCACAAGATAACAGCAAATATATGATCAAAACATAAATAAGTACAACTCATAAATATATAACTGACTGCATCAGAGTAGTGGATATAAATTGATTTGGACCTAGGTGTCATTACCTAACAATGTAATTTAAAGATAATAGGGATCATTGTATAATAAAAAGTTTACATACTAACTGGATCATACTCTGGCCTCCTGGGACCCAGTCTAATACTGCTGCCCGTATAAATTGCCCCAACACACACACATACTCTTGTTTAATGGGGAGTGATTAAAGTAGATGTCATTCTATGTAAACATTTTAAATGTATTTTGATATGTACTCAGTTTTCTGCTTTTTTTTCCCACTAGATTTCTTTTCATTAAAAATTAATTTTGTTAATACTTGGGGTCCAATATGATGGGTCACAGTGTGGCACTGTAGGATAAGCACTGAACTGCTAATTGCAAGGTCAGCAGTTCAAATCTACCAGCCGATGCTCAGAAAAAACCCTATGAGTCTAAATGGACTCAGTGATACTTAACAATAACAAGGTCCAGTTTAAACTTTTGGAGTTACACTGTTGTTGCGAGTGCTTCTGACTCAAAGTCATCCTATAGGACAGAGTAGACCTGTCCCTTAAGATTTCCTAGGGGATAATCTTTATAGGACTAATTCTCATCAAGTCTTTTCTTCCAAGTAACCACTAATGAGTTTGAACCAGTAACCTTTCAGTTAGCAGCCAAACTCTTATTAATCATTGTACCATTAGGGCTCCTTCTTTTGGATTATATATAGAAATGTAATTTGGTTTTAGCCTATTTTACTACTATCCCTTTAAAAGACAAAGCTAAGTCAATCTTTGATGTAAGTAAAATTGCTACTAAGGTTACAGTTCATAGATGCTCAGGTTTATCCCAAATAAAACATGTCTAAGTATGATTCTTTGGCCAGTAGATGGTTACAAACAAGTTCTCTCAACAATACTCTTATCTTAGCCTCATTAAGATGCCTCAAAAAAATGTTCAATCAAAACAGTGCTTTTGAGGGGCTCTTCTGAGCTTGTTAAATTCAAGGCAGAGAGGTTAAGTGACAGTTTTTTGGGATTCCAAAGCAGTGATCATGATACATTTTCTCAAAAGACACACAACAATCACAGGGCCTTATTAGGAAGATGTCTTAAGAAAATTGAAAGTTGCAGTGGTGAAAAAAGGCCAGGAAAGTTGTGTTGAAGTTTTGGGTTTTTTCTTCACAACAATGAGCCTGCTCATTCTTTCAGGGTAGCAAAGGCTGTCCTATGAGAATTTCAGTTGAGAAACCTTGTCCCATTCACTCTACAGCATACTTCTTTTTTTTCCCCACACCCAAAGAAAAAGGAAAACACTTTTTTGAGTTCCTGCCATTTTGACGTATAAATCTAAGAGTGCAAAATTCTTGGAAAAGGCTTAAAGAGATTAAATATCACCTTCAGAAGTCTATGGACCTAGATGGAGGATATATAAAAAGACAGTAGTTTTATATTTTGATACTTTTTAAAATAAAAACTTCTATGATTTTGTAGCTACACGTTTTGATGTACCATCGTGTATGTATCATATTCAACAATAACTTAAATTATATCAGATATCATTTTGAACAAATACTATATACCAGCCACTATTCCATATAAAAGCTGTGGCTCATAAGAAAACCTTGTTGTTAGGTGCTGCAAACATGGTTCTAACTCATAGCAACTATAGATACAACAGAATGAAACACTACTCAGTTCTGTACCATCCTCACAATTGTTATGTTTGAGCTTATTGTTGGTGCCACTGTGTCAATCTATCTCCTTTGGGGACTTCCTCCTTTCTGCTGAAACTCCATTTTGCCAAGCATTATGTCCTTCTCAAGGGCCTGGTCCCTCCTGACAACATGTCCAAAGTACATGATACTATGGGGCACCATCCTCACTTTTAAGGAGCAGTCCTGCCATACTCTTCCAAGACAGATTTGTTTGTTCTTATGGCACTCCATGGTACTTTCAATGTTTTTCACCAACATCATAATTCAAATGCATTGATTCTATCATGGTTTTCCTTATTCATTGTCCAACTTTCACATGCATATGTTGATGACGTTGTTAAATGCTGTTAAGTTAGTCCCGACTCATAGCAACCCTGTATAGAGTTTCTGAGAAGCAGCTGGTAGGTTTTAACCAATGGCCTCGTGGTTCAAAATGAACTTACAATACAGTGCTTATCCTACAGCACCACACCAGGACTCCTGAGGCAATTGAAAATACCATGGTTTGAGTGTTGTTGTGAAGTACCGTCGAGTCAGTTCTGATCCATAGCGATCTTGTATAGGGTTTCCAAGGTGAGCTTGAACTGCCGACCTTGAAATTCAAACAGCTTTGCAGCCTGGTGCATTAACCCACAGCACCACAGCACTTTATTCCTCAAACTGACATCTTTGCTCTTGAACACTTTAAAGAGGTCTTGTGCAACAAATTTGCCTAATGCAATACTTTGATTTCTGGACTGCTTCCATGATTGTCAATTGTGGATCCAAGCACAAAGAAGTCTTTGACAGCTTCGATCTTTCTTATGTCTATTAATGATGAGCCAATTGTGAGGATTTTCATGTTTTTTTTTTTACATTGAGTTACAGTCCAATATGAAGGCTGTAGTCTTTCATCTTCATCAGTAAACATTTCAAGTCTTTTTGTTTTCAGTAACCAAGGTTGTTGGATCATTGCATTTTGCAGGTTGTTAATGAGTCATCTTCTGTTCCTGATGCCATGTTCTTCATATAATCCAGCTTCTTTGTTCAGCATACAGGTTGAATTAAGTTGTGTGTAAGGATACAATCGTGGCAAGCAACCTTTCCTGATTTTAAACCATTTAGTAGCCCCTTCTTTTGATCTATATACAGAGTCCTCATAAGCACAAATAAGTGTTCTGGAATTCCCTCTTTTTTTGCAGTGTTATCCATAGTTTATTATGATCCATGCAGTCTAATGCTTTTGCATAGTTAATAAAACTCAAGTAAACATCTTTTTGCCATTCTCTGCTTTCATCCACGATCCATCTGACATCAGCAACGATATTCCTTGTTGCACTTCCTCTTTTGAGTCTGGTTTGAATTTCTGGCAGTTACCTGTTGATATACTACTGCAACCATTTCAGAATGATCTTCAGCAAAAATTTTCTTTCATGTGATATTAATGATATTGTTCGATACTTTTCACTTTCCATCAGATCACCTTTCTTTGGAATAGTCACAAATATGAATCTCTTCCAGTTCGTTGGTCAGATAGCTGTCTTCCAAATTTCTTAGCACAGATAAGTGAGAGCCTCCAGTGTGGAATCAATTTGTTGAAATATTTTATTTTGTATTCCATCAATCCCTGGAGCCTTGTTTTTCACCTTCTTTTCTGCTTGGACTTCTTTCTTTAGTACCATAAATTTTTGATCATGTGGTACCTCTTGAAATGGTTGAAAATCAACAATAATTTTTTTTAATATATGGTGATGCAGTGTATTCCTTCCATCTTCTTAGATGCTTCTGCATAATTTGCCCTGAAAATTCTTCAATATTCGTCGACTAGAATTTTTTTTTTTTGTGTTTTTTGATTGAAAAATGCTGAGTGTGTTCTTCCCTTTTGTTTTTCTAACTCCAGGTCTTTGCACATTTCATTATATACCACTTAAATTTGCCTTCTTGAGTTGTCTTTTGAGATTTTTTGTTCAGTTCTTGTACTTCCTCATTTCTCCCAGTCATTTTAGCTTCTCTTTGTTCAAGAGCAAGTTGCATAGTCTCTTCTAACATTCATTTTGGTATTTTCTTTCTTTCCTGTCTTTTTAATGACTGTTTGCTTTCTTCCTGTATGATATTCTTGATGTCATCTCAAAAAGCTTAAGCATTGTGATTCTTAGACAAAGAAGAAAATAGTTTTCTAGCTGCCAGTATACAAATGTGGTATCTTATTGTTCTTCCCATACATATCAGAAATATTTATATCAGAAATAATTCATATACAACCTTTTCATGTTAAATTCTGTGAGCATTCTAACTTGAATCATTCAACCTTGGCTTTGAGATATCTCTATTGATTATTCTCAGAGTTGACAGGTATCTATAAATGATTTATATTTTTTAAAAAGTAATTCATTTTGAAATTGTACTTTTTCATAATTCTGAGTGAAACACTATCAGTATAATAATTCCCACTATCTCTATGCAAACAAACCATCTCTTAGGCACTCAATAGCCAGGACACTTTTATTATTGAACTGTGTACAAAGATCCTAACTGTCTAGATGAAATAGTTTTCAGCCCACAGCATGTTAGAATTATAATGTATCTTAAGGAGATGAACCAATAAATTATAGCTTATAGCTTATAACTTGTGGTTAGACACTCTGATGTGAAAAAATGTTAAAATTAATTCATATTGACAATGTTCTTTATTGTACTTTAAATCCAGCTACAATTTAATAAAAACTAATTGTTTGGTTTTTTTTTTTTTTTTTGAGTCCTGGTGATGTGCTGTAGGATAAGCACTGTACTGCCAACTACAAGGTTGTCAGTTCAAACCCACCAGCCACTTCCTGGAGACCCTATACAGGGTCATTATGAATAAGAACAGGCTTGATGACACTTAACAACAACAACACTTTTTATTTTCTTTTTAAATTTTATTTTGTGTTTGGTTCAACTCCTTACTAGTTCTCTATGTAATTTATGAAAATTGCATGTTGCTTAACTTATGATCCTGTGCATGTGAATTACTGTGCTTCTAACATTTTTACAGAAACATGTCTGCTCATAGATGAAAGAAAAGTGTGTTTTCAACTTATGCCTAATGTTGTCTGACAATTGTATGAATAATTTTGCAATGTAAATGATGCTGTTTAGTTTCCACAGTGCCTTCACAACCTGGTAATCAGTTTTCCCACCCTGACAAACTCAAAAGGATGAGCAAGTCTGTTCCAGCATTTCTCCAAGATGAGGCAAGTTTATTTTTTATATTTTCAGAAAGATGGAATCAGACAGGTGGATTTGCTCTGCCAAGGTTGGTGTATTTGTATTCCACTGTGACTAAAGAGGTCAGCCGGATTGACCCTTACCTTCCAAGTCAATAGAGGTAGTGTTGTTGATCCTGGAACAAGCAAGGCATTTTTCATTTGTCTCAAATAGTAACTCGTCTTGGTTACTGAAGGCAAATTACATAGGTTTGGGAATGTGACTTTTGTTTCAGAGTGAATACAAAGTAAGAATCAAGGCAGAAATATGTTGGCATGAACTAGCTACTCTTCTATAATTTGGAGTAGAGTTGATTTTTGAAAACATTAGTCTAGATACTGGTACCAGTAACTACCTTGAAAATTTTAGTTAAAATAATAAAAAAGCAATGGCACTAGCAAACTTAAGGGTTTCTAGTAAGTGCTACACACTCTACCTTTATAATTTCATCTAATTGCCCTATGACAGTGGAGGGTTGGCAGCATCATTGTGCTCAGATACGGCAGGTATGGAAACTGAGACTTAGAGAGGTGAAGTAGCCTCACTTAGCTAGAAAGCAGTTGCACTAGGACTGGAACCCAGATCTAAGTCCAGAGCCTACAACTATACCATTGTATCTCAAATAAGAACATGACTATTTACCAATTGTTAAATACCTAATATGTACCAGACACTTAATAAACTTTAGATGTAGATATTACCAGTTCCAGATACGCTAGTTGTTTGCTGTGTAATCATGGAGAATATCCTCAACCTCTCTGAGTCTAGTTACCTAGTAACTACCACATGATGTGGGGCTGTAGGATAAGCACTGGATTGATAAGCCCAGGGTCATGGTTCAGCCCCACCAGCTGCTCTTTGGAAACGCTACACAGCATCACTATGAGTCAGAACTGACTTGATGGCACTTAACAGCAACCACCAGAACCATTTGTTCTTGAACCTTGATGAACCATATCTGTAAACATTCAGCTCTTTGCATATGCTTAAGAGCCCACATTACAGTTTAATTTGGAAAGAATCACTCATCCTTTGGTACTAGCTCATTAGCCAGAGCCCAGTGGCAGGCATCCCTGGAGTTCCTGTAGTTTTATACCTTAGTAAATCAGCTATGGTCTCCCAACTCAGCAGGATTTGCGTGGTCATATGAATGAACCACAAATAATTTGAGAGACAAATGATACCAGTCCCTGATTTCTGGGTTTTGTGTGTGTGTGTGTGTGTGTGTGTGTGTGTGTTTTTAATTCCTTCCCTTCAGTTTTAACCTTTGGCTCCATACAAAATAGAGTCTAGGTCATTGAGGTTTGTGCCTCATAGATGCCAAAAGTAAGCCATATCATTTTACCTTTCAAAGTCCATAGTGTTTAACTAAAGTGCATAGTGTTTAACTAGATATTAAAAGAAAGTGTAGATGAAATCAGGCCTTGTTCCTTTATTTGTTGTCTCCTTTAAGGCTTAGCATTGGTCATGTCTATTGAGTGCCAGCCCTTTGAAAAGTGTTGTTCCAGGTTAACAAGACAGGGTCTTTTCAGTAGTCACTAAAGAGTTTGTTTAAAATGTAGAACATACTGTAATAGAGGAAAAGGGACTATAAACATGTAGGGAGAGAGTAGGACAACAGAAACACATTAAAAAGGGATACTTTTTTTTTGTAATCTTTGAGGGGTGGTTATTTATGTAAGTGATTGATTTTGTTGTTCTTTAACCCCTTTTCTTAATCTGTATTAGAAATGGCATCCATTATATTGATGGATAATTGCATGGCCCTGGAATATGTTGGCATGACACTAACTACTACATAAAAGTATCCCCTAACTATAGTAACCATTGAACTACCGCATAAACCCTCCAGACCAAAAGAAGCTTATTCTGAATCATGAATGTTTTAAAACTATTATCCAATAAACTTTAGATCAAATACAATAAAGTTTGGTTTTGCCACTTCCTTTTTTGTCTCAAGTAAATATTTCCTGAGAAGTATTTTTTTAAAGTATCTTACTGCTTCTATTTTTTAAAGCAATGCATTAAAATCTAATGTGGGTAGAATACTTATTTCATATTAAAATAAAAACAGGAGTCCTGGTATGGGGCTGTGGAATAAGGTATTGGACTGCAAGGTCGATTTTGAACCACAAGGTCCATGGTTCAAACTCGCCAAGCACTCCTCAGAAACCCTATACAGGGTCACTATGGGTCAGAACCGACTTGACAGCACTTGGCAACAATAGAAAATAAAAGCATAACCTTTCATTAAAACAGATCAGACTGGATTTTCTTTTTCCTAGTTTAATAGAGTCTCAAGTAAAAGATTTGATTTTTAGAGAACAAGCACTGGACTGGGAACCACAGGTCAACGGTTCAAGCCCACCAGCCCCTCCACTCAAGAAAGATGAGACTTTCTGCTCCCTCAGAGATTTATAGCCTTGGGTCATTATGAATTGGAACCTACTCAAAGGCACTTAGCAACAAGGCTATGCTAATAAGAAGAATTCAACATGACTTTTTTTTTTTTTTTGACAGTAAATCTTAGACCTTTTGTCTGCGTATAATTTCTTGTATCGTGAAAGTTCTCCAAACAGTACAAATAAACAATGTTAAGAGAGTGACAAGAAAGCTTGCAATAGTGCTGCCATCTGTAGCTCCTTCTGGTAAAAAAACAACTGGTAATATGGTAGCTAGCCACTACTCTCCTTAGGACAAGTCCAAGGCAGGCCATCCACTCCAGCCTGTCTCCCATTCTCTGGCAATTATCATGAACATCCATTGACCTTGGGAAATACCATTCATCAGGGGATACCAAAATACCATCTTTGCCCAAACAGAGATTCTGACTTTGACTCATTCTGAATTTAAATTCTGTGTGTATTATATGATGTTTTGTAGAGTGATGACAGAGAAACAGATACAGCATCAGAAAGCAGTTACCAGCTCAGCAGATACAAGAAGAGCCCGAGCTCTTTAACCAATCTTAGCAGCTCCTCTGGCATGACGTCCTTGTCTTCTGTATGTAAACAAGCGCATCATTTTAATACCTCTCTGCTTCATGAGCCTTGCTCTACCATGCTCCCGCCTCCTCATTGAAAATGGTCCCCTGTTGTATTTCTTGAATTCCAAGGGCATGCACATCTCCTCTAATTCACAGTTAACTTCTAGCTGGCTAAACCTTCCTTTTTTTTTCTCTTTTATTTTTTTTCTTTGTCTAGAGGGGTAATATCCATTATAAATTTTTTTTTTTAACACTGTACTTCAAAATTTAAATCTAAATTGCCAATAAGGTGAATTGTTTGATTTTTCTGTGCTACAAGTAGGTTAACTATAATAAAGCAGCCTGCTTAACAGATATATTTTCATGTGTAGAATTGTACCTTTAGCAAACCTGAAAATACTAATTTTCGTAAAAGAACATGAAAGGTGATTCTTTGCCTTATAGAAGCATTTAGAATGAAGTTTTAGAAGTAAAACTCTTTAAGGATAGTTGTTCAGACTTAATTTTTAAAAATTTAACTTAAAGTTTCTTGAATAAAGTGAGATAGTTGTGTGCGCATATAGTATGTGTGTCTATACACATTATATATGTAAATATATGTAAAAATACCTGCTTAGACTTATCCAAATATTTACCTGATATACATTCAGATACTCTTATCTCACCAGGTATGCTAATCAAATTATGAAGCTGAGTACAGATTTGACATTTATCCAACTCTAAGTTTTGTTTTGGAATCTGTTTAAATTGAGTCTCTGCTCATAACAATCTAGTGTCTGCCCTTGGGAAGATTTTAAACCCCGTTCATTAGTCATCCATTGCCTACCCTTTTCTGACCCTATAAAAGCTTTTCCTAGACTCCTTGGATGGGTAATGGAGCAAAAATCCTTTTTAGTGCCTTGGAAATATGATAGAGCATTATGTCACTTTGGTGTGTGGTTCTGGGGTTTCTCACATCCTCTGTCATTGGCTTTTAAATATAGTGTGTGCCTAAAAATGGGGATCTGAGTGCCATTTAGCATCATATTTTCCTGCTTTGAAATGAAACAGCAACGTAATAACTTCACATTTCACTTTTCATCTAAGTGTTTTAAGGGCAAATATATATACATACACATGTATATCTATATGGAGTCCTGGTGTGCACTGTGGGTTAATGCGCTGAACTGCAAAGTCGTTTGAACCACAAGGTCAGTGGTTCAGGCTTACCAGCCACTCCTTGGAGACCCTATACAGGATTGCTATTGGTCGGAACCAGCTTGTCGGCACTTAACAACACCATACAAACACACATATACATACTGGTCATGTATATCATGTCAGGTTGTCTGGGTGATATGTATTTATGCCATATTAAATGCTAGCTTTTATATGCAAGTTAGAGAAATCATGGTAAGCAAGAATTTTGTCCCTGATCCTTGTATGTGTTGCTTTCATGAATGAAGTAGAGACAAACACTGCCTATTTCTGGTGTTTTCAGGTGAGTGGCAGTGTAATGAGTGTTTATAGTGGAGACTTTGGCAATCTGGAAGTTAAAGGGAATATTCAGTTTGCGATCGACTATGTGGACTCATTGAAGGAGTTGCATGTTTTTGTGGCCCAGTGTAAAGATTTAGCAGCAGCAGATGTGAAAAAACAGCGTTCGGACCCGTAAGTACATTTTGAAGTCACCTTCTTTCTTTTAAATTCTCAAGCTGATAATCTTGTACTAATTGGGAGGGAAGAGTGTAACCAAAGGGAGAGTACAAATGTGTTAAAAGGATTTTTTTTAAAAAGTGAAGCATTGGAGGAAATGCTGTTTTGTTTACTTTATAAATTCATATGCCAAACTTATTAAATCATAAAAAATCACAAAGAAGCATAGAATGTTTCAAGTTGGAAGGGACGATGGAGGTCATCTTGCCAAGTACCTTTATTTTACAGATAAGGAAACGAACCAATGACCTATCTGTCTAAATTCAGATAATCATTGAAAGAATGAGGAACGAGAACTTGAACTCAAGTCTCTTTCCTCAACACTTTCTCTGCAATTAGGGACATGCAGAGCAACAGTACAGAGCCCTGGTGAAATCATGTGGCTAAGTGTTCAGCTGCCAGCTGAAAGGTCAGCAAATAGAACGCACTGGGGACGCCACAGGAGACAGATGTAGCAGTCTGCTTTTGGAAAATACTGCAGTTCTAGTCTGTCCGAAGGGTTGCTTTAAGTCAGAAACTATTCAACAGCAATGGATTTGTTTTTGTTTTTTGCTTTTTGAAGGGGCATACATCGTAATGTTTAGTGCTAGGGAAATAGTTAAAACTCTAGAATGAGGTAGTTTCTATATTTAAACTACACTCTACAAAAGGATTTTAGGGAGAATTACTAGTTCACCTGTTAAATCATAGGCTTCATTATAGGTTAGGCTATTTGCAAAAGTTGAAAAATATTTCCCACTTACCTTTATGCAGGAGCCTGATTCTTATTTTGCTGAGATTAGCCCAAATCTTTTTATTATTATATGTTGTTGTTGTGTGCTGTGGAGTCAGTTCCAACTCATAGTGACCCTGTACAGGGTTTCTGAGGCTGTAAATCTTTACAGGAGCAGAAAGCCTCATCTTTCTCCCGCAGAACAGCTGGTAGTTTCAAACTGCTGACCCTGAGGTTCGCAGCCCAAAGGAGCTCTGGTAGCATAGTGGTTACGAATTGGGCTGTGAACCTTAAGGTCAGCGGTTCAAAACTACCAGCCGCTCCGCGGGAGAAAGATGAGGCTTTCTACTCCCGTAAAGATTTACACCCTCGGAAACCCTGTACAGGGTCACTATGGGTCGGAACCGACTCGACGGCACTTAACAACAACGCTACCAGAGCGACTGGGCTTAATATCATTTTTTTTTTTTTTTTTTGCATTGACTAAAGCTTGATTAGGATTCCTGGTGTGGCAATGAAGGATCAGTGCTTGACTGGAAAGCACAAGGTCACCAGTTCAAACCTGGAAACCTTGTACAAGGTCATTAAAAGTTCGAACCAACTTGAGAGCACTTAACAACTGGAACAACAGTTTGCTGAAGGACCCCTGGTGGTGCAGTGGTTAAAGTGCTGAATCCCTAACTAAAAGGTCTGCATTCGAGCCCAACTGCCATTCCACAGGAGAAAGAAGTGGCAGTCTGCTTCCGTAAAGATTGTTGTCTTAAGTGCTGTCAAGTCAATTCTGACCCTTAGTGACCCTGTATAGGGTTTCCGAGGAGCGGCTATTGAACTTAAACTGCCGACCTTGTGGTTCAAACTGACTTTGCAGGTCAGTGCATTGACCCACAGCACCACACCAGGACTCCATAAAGTTTACAGCCTTGGAAACTCTGGGGCAGTTCTGCTCAATCCAGCAGCGTTGATTTGTGCGGGAATCAACTTCGTGGCATTTGGCTTGCTCGAATGTGTGCTAAGATTTTTTTTTTCCAAAAAAATACAGTACCCAAAATGCTTACTGCTGTTAAGTGCTTTCAAATCAATTCCAACTAATCGTGACCTTGTATAGGGTTTCCAAGGGTCAGCTGGTGTGTTTGAACTGCCAACCTTGTCTTTTACAGTCTGATGCTTATCCTATAGCACCACACCTGGATAAAAATGTAAACAAAACAAAAACTGCAACAGTAAAGCCTTTTGGCTTAGGGAATAAACTAACCCTTAACCCCCATACTACATATGCACATTAGGTAATATTGGTAGCCATCTGGACAATTCTAAAGAATTTGGAAAATGTTCTTCAAAGCAACATCAAATGATCAATTCTGCTGATCAATTTTGGTTAAACATTAAGTGTAAGTTATTGATTATTATGTACTGCTCTTCTCTGCATCATGAAATAATTTTTTGCTGGTTTTTTATGCATTTTTTATAAAGTGGTAGAAACATCAATTTGACTGCCTGACCTTCTTATCTGTTCAATTCTATTTTTAGATATGTAAAGACCTATTTGTTACCAGACAAAGGCAAAATGGGCAAGAAGAAAACATTTGTACTGAAGAAAACATTGAATCCTGTATATAATGAGATTCTGCGGGTATCTATGAACTCTCTCTATAGGAAATTCATAAGTGGTGAAATATACATTTAAGTAGCCATGTCTTCTTGGTTAGGTCTTTGCAGATAAATTTAGTCACCAAAAGAGAAAAAGGAAAGTGAAATAATTTTGAGAGTCTGTTTTACATGATGCGTATTATGTACATTACCTAACTTCCTCTTCAGTATTCCCTGACAGGCAGGCATTACTATCTGCATCTCACAGATGAGACAAATGAAGTTTAGGGAAATACAGTAACTTGCTCAAGACCACACATCTGGTAAAGTTGAATGCTGCAACCAGAATGATTCTCTAAAAGCACAATTCATCTCATTTCTTTGCTTACTCTTACAATCAAGTCACTCACTCTTCCTTAACATGCATTCCAGTCCATTCACAACCTGAGTATCAGCCTCATCTCACCATTTCATATTCTGTGTTCATGCCACACTGTTTTCCTTTTTGTTATTTAGAGGAACTACGTTTTCTTACACTGCTAGGACCTTTGGGTCCTTTTGGTTATTATAGTCTTCCCCTCATTCTTTCCAGGACTACCTCCTACATAGATTCTTCCTTTGAGAGTGTGTTCATAATCCCTAAACTCCCTGTTATCTGCTGCCTCAATAGCCTTGTTTCTTACGAGATTTTATTAACATTCACAGTTAAAGGATTGATTTAATTATCTGCCTTCCTGCTAAACTGTAAATTCCATGAGCACAAGTACCAACTCTGGATTCCTTACAAAACTGTGTGCCTTTGACAAACGACTTACCTACAATTAAGATCAGATTAAATTATTTAAAAAAATAGTTAATATATGTGAAGTGATTAGCATACACTGAATATTAGGTGTTTGCTATTACTTATTTTTGTCGTAGCTCTGAGTCTTAGCACAGTGTCTCGCGTATCATAAATATTGGGTGGGTGGATGGACAGATGAATGGGAAGTATACATGGCTCAAGTACCCGTGAGCTTTTTCTCCTCCAAACTGTGTCATGTTACTTTAGTCATGAGTAGCAGATTATTTTAAATTAACCATATGAAAAAGTATTGTTCAGTCCTTCTTTCTGATAATTCTGTTCAAGTATTTGATTATCCTCTGGGAAAGAAGCAGTTAAACCAACTCTTTGTCATCCATGGATGTATTAACTACCTTGTGAATTTTCTGTAGTAAGTTTTTAATCACAGTTTGACTGTTATATACTCCAGAACCCTACTATTTCTGGATCAACTACCCTATACTCAGGAAAAGCCACCTAATTTAAATGGTAAACTTAGAAAAGACAAGTCAGCTGCAACAAAAACGGATAGTCACATAATATATTATAAAGCCAAATAGAATTATTTTTAGATTAGAAGTACTATTATCCCTTCCATGATTATATATAATCAAGGATTGACTGTATTTTAGATGAAAAATGGTTAGAATGCCAAATCTTTTCCACTTGACCATATGAAGCAGGAAAAACAAGTGTGTGTTTTGAAAACAAAACAACAACAACAAAAAAACCTCCTTTATGTAGGAAATAGAGCATTAGATTAAACTTGATTTGTATCTTAGACTGATTTTAATTGTTATTTTACTTAATTAGAACTAAAAACGCTCAGTAAAAAATGAATAATTGACTTTTGTTGTTAGAATGCTATTGCCAGCTATGATATTTGAGCTATGGCTTGCTTTTTCAGAAAGGGAAAGAAAATCAGCTTTTATGAAAGATGAATTTCAGCTCTTTGAAACAATACACTTACAGAGTAAGATGACTTTGCTATATTTTTTAGACCTCAAGCTTAGCTGATGAGAAATGTGATCTACACAGATGAGTTTGTCTTAATCTCTGTGTCATAACTTTGGCATGAAATAATATTCATAATTTTAATTTCCTTCTTTGAACTGCAGTACAAAATTGAAAAACAAATCTTAAAGACGCAGAAACTGAACGTATCTGTTTGGCATCGGGATACATTTAAACGCAATAGTTTTCTAGGGGAAGTGGAACTTGATTTGGAAACTTGGGACTGGGACAACAAACAGAATAAACAGTTGAAGTGGTACCCTCTGAAACGGAAGGTAAATTTGGTTGGTTGATTGGTTGGTTTGGGACCTTGTGTGTAAAATCTACTATAAAATTGCATTTTAATTCAGAGCATTGATTCACAGATTGAAATAATTTAAAACTAGGATTGGATTTTCTTTATTCAGTCAGTGAATAACGATGAAAAGAGATTTAGGAAGAATGTTTAAATTATTTAACATAAATGTTTCAGAGACTTCAGAAAGATCATCTAAAGAATTAAATCCTTTGAAATTTGAGACTTTCAGTCTAGTAAATAGTCAGATATTGGTAAATGTCACATGTGTCATTTGTAAAGAAAGCACATCCTGTGGCAGTTGGATGCAGTGTTTTATATCTATCATCATTAAGTCAAGTTGGTTAATAATATTACTTGTCTTCTATATCTTTATTAATTTTGTATTTGTATATATTTATGAAAAGAAGTATGATTGTAGAATTATTTTGTTATTTGTGCTTTATTTCTTTGTCTTGAAGTTGTCTAATTGAGCATATAGAAATTTAGAATTGTTGTACAAGAGGGCTTCAAAAAGTTCATGGAAAAAAATGAATTGAAATATAATGGAATTTTTCCATGAGCATTTTGAAGCCCTGCTTGTATTTTCCTGGTTGATTGACCATTTTACTATTTTGAAACATCCTTTTAATTTCTAGTAATGCTTCTTGTTTTGTATCTACTTTGCCTGTATTAGTATAGTTCTATCAGTTTTCTTTTGGTTCGAATTTTATTTTTATCCTTTGATATTCAGTCTTTTAAAAAAGTTAAGACGTGTTTCATATAAGCAACAGTTTTGATTTTTTTTCTGATCTAAATATCTTTGTCTTTTAATTTATACCATTTATATTTATTGTAATCATTGACCTATTTGTATTTAAATGTATCATCTTAATTATTTATCCAGTTTCTTTATATTCAAAATTATCTCCTTTGGGATTAATAAAATATTATATTGTTTCATTTCCCTTCTATTAATATGTTAATTGGATTCCTGGTGTGACACTGTAGGATCATCTCTGGACTACTCACCACAAGGATGGTGGTTCAAAACCACCAACCACTCCTTGGAAATCCTATACAGGGTTTCTATGAGTCAGAACGTACTCGATCGCACTTAACAACAACAACAACAATATGTCAATTGGGGTTCTGGTGGGTGCTATAGGAAGCACTTGACCTCAAGGTCCGTTTGAACCTCAAGGTTGGAGGTTCAAACTCACCAACTGCTCCTCGGAAACCCTACACAGGGTCACTGTGAGTTGGAACCAACTTGATGACTCTAAACAACAACAGTGTGTCAATTATAGTTTTTTTTTCTCTTTCTTTTATTGACTGCCCTAGAGATTACCAATGCACATTTGATTTATACATATAATACAAATGAGAATTTTCACCATTTTCAGGACAATTAAAAGAAACCAGAACATTTTAACTTTATTTACTATTCCTCCTTCTTTTGTGCTATTGTCAGTATTCTTCACTAACATGGTAATTCAAAGGCACTAATTATTCTTTGATCTTTCTTATTCATTGCCCAGCTTCCGCATGTATATGAGGTGATTGAATATACCATGGCTTGAGTCAAGTGCACCTTAGTCCTTAAAGTGGCATCTTTGCTCTTTTCAACACTTTAAAAAGTTCTTTTGCAGCAGACTTGCCTACTGCAGTATGTTGTTTGATTTCTTGCCTGCTAATTCCATAAACATTGACTGTAGATCCAAGCAAATTGAAATCTTTGACAACTTCGATATTTCTTCTGTTTATCAGGAATTTTTTGTTTTCTGTTTCCATACTGAGGTGTAACCCATATCGAAAGCTTTAATTTTTGGTCTGTTAGTAACTATTGCAAGTCCTCTTTGCTTCCAGCAGGCAATGTTGTGTCATCTGCATATTGCAAGTTGTTAATGAGTCTCCAATCCTGATGCCACATTCTTCTTCATATAATTCAGCTTCTTGGCTTCTGTGCTCAGCATACAAATTGTATAAGTATGGTGAAAGGCTACAACCATGGTGCACACCTTTCCGAATTTTAAACCATGCAGCATCCCCTTGCTCTGTTCTAATGACTGCCTCTTGGTCTATGCGCAGGTTCCTCATAGCACAATTAAATGATCTGGAATACCCATTCTTCACAATATTATCCACAGTTTGTCATGAGCTACACAGCCAAAAGATTTTGCATAGTCAGTGAAGGACTATTAAACACCTTTATGTTATTCTTTGCTTTCAGCCAAGATCCACCTGACATCAGCAATGATATACCTCTTTCCATGTTATCTTCTGAATCTGATTTGAATTTCTGGCAGTGTGTTTTCAATGTATTGTTTTCAACCATTTTTGAGTTATCTTCAGAAAATGTTACTTGCATGTGACGTTATTGATTTCGTTCAATGATTTCTGAATTCATTGAGCCACCTTTCTGTAGAATGGACATAAATATGGATCTCTTCCAGTCAGTTGGCCAGGTAGCTGTCTTTAAAATTTCTTGGCATAGACAATTGAATGCCTGTAGTGCCACATCACTTTGTTGAAACATTTCAGTTTGTATTCTATCCATTTCTGGAGCCTTCCTTTTCACCAGTGCCTACAGAACAGCTTAGATTTCTTCCTTTAATACCATTAGTTCTTGATCATATGATACTTCTTGAAATCGTTGAACATCAACCAATACTTTTTGGTACAGTGACTCTGTATTTCTTCCATCTTCTTTTGATGTTTCCTCAGTCATTCAATATTTTGCCAATAGAATACTTCAGTATTGCAACCTGAAGCTTGAATTTTTCTTCAGCTCTTTTAGCTTGAGAAACACTGAGCGTGTTCTTCCTTTTTGGTTTTCTAACTCCGGATCTTTGTACAGTTCATTATAACACTTTGTCTTCATTGTCTTACTTTGCCTTCTCAAGCTGTCCTTTGAAATTTTCTGTTCAGCTCTTTTACTTAATAGTTTCTTTCAGTTACTTTAGCTTCTCTGCATTCAAGAGCAAGTTTCAGAGTCTCTTCTGACATCTGTTTTGGTCTTTTCTGTGTTCCTTTAAATGACCTTTTGTGTTCTTCATGATGATGTTCTTGATGTCATCCCACAACTCCTCTGGTTCTTGGTTATTTGTGTTCATTGCATCAAATCTTTTCTTGACATGGTCTCTAAAATCAGGCAGGATACACCCAAGGTCATATTTTGGCTCTCATGATTGTTATAATATTCTTAAGCTTCAACCTGAACTTGCATATAAGCAATTAAAGGTCAGTTGGTTCCACAGTTGGCTTCTGGCTTTTTTGGCAGGTGATACTGAGCTTCTCTATCATGTCTTCCTACATATGTCGTCAATTTGACTCCTATGTATGCCATCCCATGAGGTCTACATGTTTAGTTGTCGTTTGTGTTGTTGAAAAAAGGTATTTGCAATGAATAAGTCATTGGTCTTGCAAAATTCTATCATATGTTCTCTAGCATAATTCCATCATCGTGGCCTTATTTTCCAACTAATGATCCTTCCTCTTTGCTTCCAACTTTCATATTCCAGTCATCTGTAATTACCAATGCATTTTGATTACATGTTTGATCAATTGTAGACTGACAAAATGAGTAGAATTCTTTTTCATTTCATTTTTTACAACTTCCAATTTTCCTGGATTCATACTTCATACCTTTTATGTTCCAGTTATTAATAGATGTTTGCAGATGTTTCTTCTCATTTTCAAGTTATACCCTATCAGCAAATGAAGGTCCCCAAAAGCTTTGTTCCCTATACCTCAGTAAGGTCAAGTCTACTTTGAGGAGGCAACTCTTCCCCATTAGTAATTTTGAGTGCCTTCCAACCTGAGGGGCTCATCTTACAGCACTCTATCAGACAGTGTTCCATTGCTAGTCGTAAGATTTTCAGTGGCTAACCTTTCAGCAATGAACCACCTCTCCTTCCTAATCTGTGTTAGTTGTTGTTGTTGTTAAGTGCTCTCATAACAACTATATATAGGGTTTCCAAGGAATGGCTGATGGGTTTGAACCACCAGCCTACCAGTTACCAGTTCAGTGTTATCCTATAGCGCCACATCAGGGTGACCCTGATTGTGTTTAAAATATTGGTAGCATGGCGTCCAACATCACAGCAGTACACAAGCCACCACAGTACAACAGTGAGATGAGTGGTGGCTTTCCTATATGGTGGTGGTGGTGGTGGTGGTGGTGGTGGTGGTTATGTGTCATGGAGTCTATTCCAACTCAATGCGACCCTGTACAGAATTTCCAAAGCTATAAATCTTAACGGGAGCAGAAAGCCTCATCTTTCTCCTGCAGAACAGCTAGTAGTTTCAAACTGCTGAACTTGAGGTTTGCAGCCTGATTCATAACCACTACGCTACCAGAGCTCCTTGGCTTTCCGATATGGGTGGAGTTATTTCTTCTGCTTGAAGACTTCCTTCCAGTTTTACTTTTAATACATAGCTACTGGCAACAAATTATCTCAGGTTTTCTTGGTATCATGACCTCTTTCTTAGCCTTCATTTTTAAAGACTTCTTGCTACATTGCTAGATTGGCAGTTACTTTTTTCAACATTTTGAAGTTGTTTAATTGTATTCTAACTTTTATCATTTCTATTAGTAAGTCAATTTTTAGTCCTATTTTTGCTCCTTTGTATGTTGTGCATCTTCTCAGATTTTAGGATTTGTTTCTTGTCTTTGATTTTTCAGCAGTTTTTACTACAATTACCCTAGTTGGAGTTTTCTTAGTATTTTTCCTGTTTGGGTTTCACTGAACTTCTTGAATCTGTATCTTGCTGTCTCATCAACCTTGAAAATTCCTTGCCAGTTATTTCTTCACATACTGCTTTTGCCCCATTTATTTCTCTCTTTTCCTTCTGAAGTTTCTAATACATGTATGGTCTGTCTTTTCATATGTCTCTTGTACTTTATTTTGTATTTTATTTTTCCTGATGGTGCTATAGGATAAGTACTAGACAGCTAGGTACAAAGTTGGCAATTCAAGCTCACCAGCCACTCTTCATGAGAAAGATGAGGCTTTCTGCTACTGTAAAGATTTACAGCCTTGGAAATCCAATACAGGGTCACTATAAGTCAGAATCATTTACATATGTATGTGTGTGTATGTACATACATGCATACAAACACACACACACACATGAGGGTGAGTCCAAAATAATTTGCACTCTGGCTGTGGAATTTATTTATTTATTTTAATCAACTTTTATTAAAAAATACATCTTTTTTTAAAACATAATCTCCTTGCTTTCCATTACACTTTGTTTATCTGTCAACAAGCTTTTGTATTCCCTTATTTAATAACATGGAATCCTGATGTGGTGCTGTGGGGTAATGCGCTGGACTGCACAATTGGTTTTGCAAGGTCAGCGGTTCAAGCTCACCAGCCGTTCCCTGGAAACCCTATTGTACAGGGTTGCTATGGGTCAGAACCAACTTGATGGTACTTAATAACAACATAACAACAATTGAAAAATATTTTAGGCAGAGCTTCAAGCCACAAATGCACCATTGTTTTCACTTCTTCATCAGAAATGAACTTTAATCCTCTAAAGGCTGCTTTCAGGGGATCAAACAGGTGAAAGTGTGATAGAGCAAGATCAGGACTGTAGGGAGGATGCTTTAACACCTGAAAATGAAGTTTTTGCAGAATGTCAACAGTGTGGGCAGAGGTGTAGGGATGTGCATTGTTATGCAAGGTCACCACACCCTTGGATAACAGTCCTCAGCGGTCAATCCAAAATGTAGGTTTCAGCTTCTCAGTGAGCCTCTCAATGTAATGAGCACTGTTGACTGTTGAATCTTTTTCCTGATAGTGTTCCAATACTGACTCTTGAGAATCCTAGAAAATGATAAGCACCAATTTTTCAGCTAATGGCTGGCTTTTGAACTTTTTCTTGGCCAGTGATTGAGAATGTTTCCATTCCATATTCTGCCATTTACTCTCAGGCTCCTAGTGATGATTTCATGTCTTTTCACCAGTAGAAATTTTTTTTTTTTTTAAAGAAACTTTTACCTTCCTTTAAGTATCGGTCCAAATTTTTTTTGGAGATGTCCAGATGCATCAGTTTGTGCTCTTCCATGAGTTGTTTCGGTATCCATCTTGCACAAACTTTTCAAAACCCAAGTCTGTTGTGGATTATTTCAAAAGCATGGCTGGTTTGCAAATAATTTGCCACATAATCCATTATCACTCATCAAATCATTTCATGTGCACATTCAATGTTGTCATCAGGCATGGATGGGCATTTTAATATAAGCAGAGTGTGGGTAATTTTTGACTCATGGTGGTGTGTTTGCGGTTTGTGTGTATGTGTGGTGAATATATACTTCAGGCTGGCCTTTTTTTTTTTTTTTTAAACTAATGGTTGAAACCCACCAACTGCTCCTGGAAACCCTGCACAGGATCCCGGTGAGTCAGACTGACTGGAAGGTACTTAACAATGACAACTCATTAGCAGGGGGTTCGTGTTTTTTGTTTATATTCTATTTTAATAAATTTTTTTATTAGCTATGTCTAATCTGTTAGATATATTTATAGGTTCTCAATTATTATATTTTTTTATATTTCAATTTTCATGTAGATCTTCTTTATAGAAGAGGAAAGATATTTCTCTACTAAAATTTTTCATCTTAACAATATCTTAATGAATACATTAATCAAAGTTATTTAAAGTGTGTATCATAGAATTCTATTTTCTTAAACATATTTAAGTTGCTCATCTATTTTTTAAACATGGATCATTTGTACTTATATCCTGGTATATCTGTACATTTTCTATTGAACACTTTACTTTTTTTTTTAAGTTACTGGGATAATTTGAATAAGTTTACTTTAGCATCTGACAGAGTTGGGACAGACCACCTTAATCTTCTTTAGGAATGAGTTGACTTGATGCCAGCATTCAGTTGTCGTGTCATCTGGTCTAGTTCTTGTTTGCCTATATTCCTAGACTGTGGTCTTTTAGTGATTCCAACTAAAAACTGAGGAAAGTAGTTCTGAAATTTTAGCATACATTCTGTACAACTAAAAGACTTGTTAAACCACAGATTGCTAGGCAATATCCCCAAAGTTTCTGATTCAGTAAGGTTCAGCCCAAGAATTTTCATTTCTAACAAGTTCCAGGAAGTGTTTATGCTGCTGGCCTGGGGACCACACTTTTAAAAATACTGGTCTAGGGGTAATTTTTCCCCCAGCTCATGAAACTTTCCAAAGCTCTATTGAGCTTCTCAACCTCTTTCTTCTAGATTTTTTATACTCTCAGCTTGGCACTACTTGTAAATCAGTTAATCCCTTGAAATGAAAAGTAGAGAAGACTGTCAAGCTCAAATATCTTGTCCATTTGAGTAATTCTTTAACATCCTCAACTGGATTTTTAACCCAACTTTTCTTTTTCTTCTCAGTATGAAGTGAAGGTTAGTGTGATCCAAGCTGGTACGTTATAGCTCAAAGTGATAAGTCCAAAAAATAAATACAAACCATTTTTTAGCACCTGCATAGTAAAATAATTCCATTAAATATATGGCTCCTAAATGATGCATCCAAGTCACTCGAGGCCCTTATTTCTAGCTCTACCCAAGAGTGGGTGGGTGAATCTGAATTCCTCTGAAGATGCCAGATAATTTTTAACTGGCTCCTCTTAGGTTTTGATACATAGCTGTATTTTGGAAATAAACTGCTAAAGGACTAGAATTTGTAAGTAAAATCACTTCTCTTATACTTGAAAAACAAACATATATTTAAAAATTATTGTTTAGTTGTTATTATTCTTACAGACTTCTTTTATTCTAAAATTGTCAGGTTAATGTACATCTTTAAAGTGTAGAAATAAATTTTTTCCCTCATGCCATCCTACTTTATTCTTATTCCATCAAAGAGAAGGGCATACAATTAAAGTTATTACTGGCATGCCAGATAATAAAATAACAAAACGTATGTGTTTTTGTAAAAATGGAAGTATCCCAGGATACTGCTCCCATCTCCAAGAAAGACATTCTGGTTTTTTGAGACCAAAGACCCTGAAATGTTTACTGGGTACCCTGCAAGACTTCCCAAGGTTCACAGCATTGCTTTCTCAGATCTAAACAGCAAAAGTCTAGCTTTGATGGGAAGAGAGTTTTAATCCAGAGCATTCTGACAAAATAACAAAGAGGGTAAGTAGCATGTACCTCATTCTTGGCAATTTTCCTTCATTGTTTCAGACAGCACCAGTTGCCCTTGAGGCAGAAAACAGAGGTGAAATGAAGTTAGCCCTCCAGTATGTCCCAGAGCCAAACCCTGGTATGTAATTATTTTTTATCCAGATTTATGATCTTTCCTTCTTCTTCTCTTCTCCAAGGACATCTTTGGATCCTATTATACAGTGAAACCTGTGAGAGCTGGAACTTGCAGCTACTGCATTGTTTTCTGCCTTTGACAGGGCATAGTCTTACTGCTCTCCGTTAGTGGAAAACGCTTGACTTTTCCTTTTCTAACAGGTTTCCACCTTATAAAGTTTAGGCTTTCACAGGCTTTACTATATTTTCAAAGATGACACCCCAAACAAACTTCTAACTTTGTAATTATATATATCAAATGAGTCAATTCACAGTTGTAAACTAAAAAATTCTAAAGTTTCATTTTTTAATTTTAACTGTCACCTCACTCTCATAAAAGTTTGTATGTGCACAATGTGAATGGCCTTTGCTGTATTCAGAATTGGGGCCTATTGTTAATGCTGTGATGAGAGTAATGCCTGACTGTTCTTTTTCACAGGTGGGAACTAGAAGAAGTCATAGGGAGCCCTTAGTGATTTAGAGCTTAGTGATCCTTTGTTCTCAGGATCTCACAGGAGATACAGCCTTCTCCTCAAGATCACTAATTGCATCTTTGGTGTTAGGGCCTCTGGTCTACAGTCCAGTTAATGTGCAAGAGACTGTGGAAAATGAACGAAAGCCCCTTTCTCATTTCCCAAGCAAGTTCCCCAAGTTACTTCTTTTAGGTAGGCATCTGTAAGAATGCAATGGCGAAAACCTGGGGTTTCAAACTCAAATACTTTCAAGAACCAGGCAGTGAAGCTAGTGGGATGGAAGAAAGAATGGATTTTGAAGGCAGTGACTGACCTAGAGAATCCTCTCCGAGTTATGACTCATAGCAATCCAATAGGACAAAACAGAACTGCTCCGTAGAGTTTCCAAGGCTATAAATCTTTATGGAATTGGACGGACACATCTTTTTCCCATGGGCAGATGGTATTTTAAAACTGCTAACCCTTTCGTTAGTCATGTGCTTAACCACTGCACCACCAGGGCCCTTTGAACTAGAAAGACATTCTAGTTTGGTTTCGGCTGGGGAAAGTATTGACAGACATGCAAAAATGGATCTTTTGGATCTGCCCACAAAGCAGGTTCTTTTGTGTATAATATGCATCTTATTAGTTATGTGGTGCAATGTTTAAGCACTCAACTTCGAACCCAAAGGTTGGTGGTTTGAACCAACCAGTGACTCCACAGAAGAAATGACCTGGCTATCTATTCCCCAAAAACTTCAGTCTTGGGAAGTTTTTATGGGAGCAGCTACCAGGTGTTTTCTTCTATGAGGTGTTCTACCCTGTCCTACAGGATTGCCAGGACTGTAAATTGACTCGATGACACACAACAGTACTAATGACCCAAGGAGACCTGCTGTTGAAATGGTTACACTCTCAGCTGCTTACCTAAAGTTTGGTGGTTGGAACAGCGTCTCCACAGGAGAAAGACCTCACCATCTGCTACCATAAAGATTACAGCTTAGAAAATCCAATAGGGGTACTTCTACACAGTATATGGGATTGCAATGAGCCTAAAATCGACCTGACAATACCTAACAACTATAACAATTTATGATCCAGTCATAGAAATGCTGCCAGCCCATTTTCTCAATTCCTTTAGTATTTTCTTCATGTCAGGGGTAGAGGGGATGGTATGTAGTGATAGATTCCATATTTCCATGATTTGGTTATACAGTTTCCTTTTTCCTAGAATGGTTTCCTCTTTATTAACATATACAAGTTTCACTTAAAGTTCAGTCTCCTCCATAAAGCTTTTCCTAATTACAGTAGCTCTCATTGATTACCTTTATCTTCCATAACCTTACAGTACTGATGTGGTATTCAGTTCCATGTTGCAACTTTATTGGACTTATTTGAATTACTCTCTCCAGCTTAATTTTTGATGTTTCCCCAGCACATACATTGTTGCTTTTAAGTGTCTTTGAGTTCGTGCTGACTCGTAGTGACTGTGTATGGCATTTCCAAGGAGCGGCTAGTGAATTTGAGCTGCTGACTTTTGTGGTTCAAACAACCTTGCAGTCCATTGCAAATAACAGATTTGATGCATTAGACACTAATGATCAAAAACCGATAGAGTTATGGGATGACATCAAGAACAGCATAGCACCACAGAGGGAACATCAAAAAGTTTTTGGAAAACTGGAATTAAAAAATAGTGGAGTTTTTCCATGAACCTTTGAAACCCTCTCATCTATTATTTTTGTATTCTTTGTGTACCACTGCTCGTTTGTCAGTTTGTCATACTCTAGTGGCTTGCATGTTGCTGTGATGCTGGAAGCTATACCACTGATACTTTAAATACCAGCAGGGTCACCTATTGTGTGCAGGTTTCATCTGAGCTTATAGACTAAGACAGACTAGGAAGAAGGACAGTGAACTATGTTTGAATGGCTGTTCACTGAAAATCTTATGAATAGCAGTGGAACATTGTCATATACAGTGCCAGAAGATGAAAACATTATGAATAGTATCAGAAAATTGTCAGGTAGAGTGCTGGAAGATGAACCCTTCAGATTGGAAGGCACTCAGAATACTGGGAAAGAACTGCCTCCTCAAAATAGAGTTAGCCATAATGACATGAAGGGAGCAAAGCTCTCAGGACTTTCATTTGCAAATGGGTCACAACTCAAAATGAGGAGACACAGCTGCAAATATCCATTAATAATCAGAACATGGTTGTATGAAGAATAAATCTAGTAAAATTGGAAGTTGTCAAAAATGAAATGGAATGCATAAAGATTCGTATCCTAGGCAAGATGGTACTTACAAGAAAGACCAGTTAATAACATTAGTGTTCAAGTTTAGGCACCAACCACTAAAACCAGCAATGATGAAATTGAAGAATTCTACCACTTTCTTTAGTTAGAAACTGATTAAACTTCCAGTCAAAAGACATTGATAATTACTGATGATTTTAAGTGAAGGTTGGGAACAAAAAGGAAGAATCAGTAATTGGATAATACGGCCTTGGTGATAGAAGTGATGCTGGAGATCACGTGATAGAATTTTGCAAGACCAATGACTATTCATTGCAAATACCTTTTTTCAATACCATCAATGTAACAATATCCATGAACCTCACCAGATTGAGTACACAGGAATTAAGTTGACTACATCTGTGGGAAGAGATAATAAAGAAGCTCATCTCTTCAGCATCATCAGCCAAACAAGACTAGAGGCTGACTGTGGAAGAGTCCATCAATTGTTCATATGCAAACTCAGGCTAAAACTGAAGAAAATTAAAACAACTCTACAAGAGCCAAAATATGACTTTGAATATGTCCCACCTGAATTCAGAGACCATCTCAATAACAGATTTGATGTATTACACACTAATGATAGAAAACCAGTAGAGTTATAGGATGCCATCAAGAACATCATACAGGAAGAAAGCAAAAGGTCATTAAGAAGACAGGAATGAAAGGAAAGAGCAAAATGGATGTCAGGAGACACTCTGAAACTTGTTCTTAAGCATAGAGAAGCTAAAACGAATGGAAGAAATGAAGTAAAAGAGCTGAGCATGAAATTTCAAATGGTGGTTCAAGAAGAGAGAGTCAAATATTATAATGAAATGTGCAAAGACTTGGAGTTAGAAAACCAAAAGAGAAGAATACACTGAGCATTTCTTAAGCTGAAAGAAGTTAAGAAAAAATAAAAACCTAGACTTGAAAGACTCTATTGAAGGACTCCATGGACAAAATATTGACTGATACAGATAGCATTAAAAGAAGATAGAAGGATTACACAGAATCACTGTACCAAAAAGGAATGATCAATGTTCAGCCATTTTGAGAGGTAGCATACAATCAAGAACCAATGATACTCAAAGAAGAAGTCCAAGCTGCACTGAAGGCATTGGCAAAAAAGAAGCCTCCAGGAATTTGTGGAACATGAATTGAAATATTTCAACAAACTGATACAGTGCTAGAGGCACTCACTCATCTATACCAAAAATTTGGATGACAGCTATCTGGTCAACCATTGAAAGTGATCCATATTTGTGCCTATTCCAAAGAAAGGTGACTCAGTAGAATGTAGAAATTATCAAACATCATTAATATCACATGCAAGTAAAATTTTGCTGGAGATAATTAAAAAACGATTGCAGCAGTACACCAACAGGAAACTGACAGAAATTCAGGCCAGATTTAGAAGAGTACATAGAATGAGAGCTATCATTGCTGATGTCAGCTGGATCTCGGCTAAAAGCAGAGAATACCAGAAAGATGTTTACCTATGCTTTATTGACTATGCAAAGGCTTTTGCCTGTGAGGATCATGATGAACTATGGATTAATAGATATTCTAGAACACTTAATTGTTTTCATGAAGAAACTATACATAGACCAAAAAAAAAAAAAAATTTATTAGAGCAGAACAAGGGGACACTCAGTGGTTTAATCAGGAAAGGTGTGTGCCAGCTTTGTATTCTTTCACCATACTTATTCAATCTGTATGCTGAGCACATAATCTGGAAGCTGGATTGTATGAAAAAGAATGTGGCATAGGGATTGGAGGAAGACTCATTAACAACCTGTGATTAATAACCTTGCTTTCTGGAAGTGGCCTTAAAATCGTCACTGATAAAGATCAAAGACTAAATAAAGCCTTTAGTATGGATTACACCCCAATGTAAAGAAAATGAAAATCATTATAGCTGGACCAATAAATAACATCATGACAGTTGGAGAAAAGATTGAAGTTGTCAGAGATTTCATTTTGCTTGGGTCCACAATCAATACTCATGGAAGAGGCAGTCAAGAAAGCAAATGATGTTTTACATTAGGCAAAACTATTGCATAAGACCTCTTTAAAGTGTCAAAGAGAAAAGATATCAGTATGAGGACTAAGGTGTGCAAGTCATGGTATTTCCATTACCTCATATGCATGTGAAAGTTGGATAATGTATAAGGAAGACCAGAGAAGAATGAATGCATTTGAATTATGATGTTGGCGAAGAATATTAAAAGTACCATGGACTGCCAGAAGAATAAACCAATCTATTTTGGAAGAAGTACAGCCAGAATGCTCCTTACAAACCAGGATGGCGAGACTTCATCTCTCATACTTTGGACATGTTACCAGGAGGGACCAGTCCCTGGAGAATAACATCATGCGTGGTAAAGTGGAGGATCAGCAAAAAAAGGAAGACCCCTACTGAGATGTATTGACACAATGGCAGCAGCAGTAGACTCAAACGTAACAGTTGTGAGGATGGCACAGAAGCCAGCAGTGTTTTGTTCTCTTTTGAGTAGGGTTGCTGTGAGTCAGAACCAACTTGGCAGCACCTAACAATAATATATATTATTCTTTATAGTCCTTGTATATCCAATAACATTGCTCAGTTAAGACTGAACACACAATAAATGCTCATTAAATGCTGATTATTTGACTAATTGGGCTAACATATCCAGAGAAAAATCTGGTAGTGTCCCTTTGTCCCTAGACAAACCAACTTCCAGTTGTTTCCTATTTCTGTTATCTGTGTAAGGAACCCTGATGGTGCCATGGGGTAAGCGTTGGGTTGTTGGGCTGCTAACCGCAATGTTGACAGTTCAAACCTACCAGCTGCTCCATGGTAGAAAGATGAGGTGGTCTGCTCCCTTAGAGATTTAGTCTCAGAAACCCTAATGAGCAGTTCTACTCTGTCGTATAGGGTTGCTATGAGTTGGAATTGACTCGATGGCAGTGTGTTTGGTTTGGTTATGTGTCTATGTATTGTATCCCTATAAAATGTATAAAACCACTTTTAACAGAGAATACCTGTACTTTAATAAGTGCCTGTTTTGGTTTTTGAGTTACTTTAGACTCAAATAACTCTAAAATGTATCCCATAAATGCAATTTGATACTGTTATTAAGATTTAGAAGATATAGGTATTTCATTGAGTTGATTAAAATAAGCTATAATTGGATGATTCACTCCATACTTGGAATCAACTATATAAATTACTTTCATAAAGTTATCTGAGTTCAGGACAGCCAGAATATGAACGATATGGCTAAGACTGTATAGATTTAATCTCTTAGGATAATACCACCAAGCACTGTTTAGTAGTATTATGTTAAACCGTTTTTGGATTGACATCTTTGAATGCATCCTTGTCAAGAAAGAGGTGTCAGTACATTTATTTTTTCTCCTTTTTCCATTACAGGTAAAAAGCTTCCTACTACTGGAGAAGTACACATCTGGGTGAAGGAATGCCTTGATCTACCACTGCTAAGGGGCAGCCATCTAAATTCTTTTGTCAAATGGTAAGAGCATTGATAACTCTGACTCCCTCACTTCTAAGGTAGCCTGGCTGGTTCCAGTTATCTAATTCTGGGCTACTGGCACTCAATACTCAGAGCTTAAATGAATTTACTTGAGGTAAGGGAAACATGAATTAGAGAGATCTGTAACATGAATCTCCAAGGCTCCATTTAGGTTTATGTTTTATTTTTTTCTCTTTTAAACTTTTATTGTGAATTAGGTGAAGGTTTATAAAACAAATTTGTTTTCCATTCAACACTTCACATATATATAGTTTCCTGTCATTGATAGCAACCTTCCTAGTATAATATCACTTTTCCAACTTCCTCCCTGTGTTTCTGGCTTCCATTTCTCCTTCTATCCTGTCTCTCTGAACTTTGTCCTGGGATAAACGCTGTCTTATTGCTCTCAAGTAGTTCATTATTTTAAGGTGTGCTTCCCTCCCTGGTATTCTTGTTCGCCTTAGAGACCTATTGTTTGCCTGAAAATGGAGCCACTGGGTGAGTTCCTTTCCAGAGTTGAAGGGTAACTAAGCATATCCATTTGGATTTGAAAGCATAAGGGTAAGAGGACATATATACAAATGAAACCAGAAACATCATACTCAGATATGTAATATCTTCTAGAGGTATATCTGATAAGTACTTTATTCAGTACAAAAGAGTTTATATCAAGTTTCTGATGATAGGATGTTACACTCATACCCTCTATGTCTCCTTTGTGGAGCAGGGAGAATTTTTCCTCCCGAATTTTATTCCCTCTACTTTGTGGTCCATTTGCAAAGGACCTTGACTTTAGCTTACAAACAACTGGCAAATGATTTGCTAAACAAACCCCTACTGAGTGTTAGCTTCTAAGAGCTTAAGACAGTTGGATTTTTAAAGGCATTTTTTTTCCTGTTATACATATAAAGTGCCTGGCATATAGTAAAATAAATAGTAACTAATAGAAGTGAGTGCCCTTAGGTCCCGCTGACTATTTTTATCTATATATATTCTACCACCAGACGATAAGTTGTAGCTATATTAGTATATGGAGTCCTGGTGTGGCTCTGTGGGTTACTGTGTAGACTGCAAAGCCAGTTTGAACTAAAAGGTCAGTGATTCAAACTCACCAGCCTCTCCTTGGAAACCCTATACAGGGTCGCTATGGGTTGAAACTGACTTGACAACACTTAACAACAACAACAGCATAGAAATATATATAAAATGTTCTTTGTGGTTTTCCCTCTACATAGATGTCAGCTGGGATGATTTTCAGCTCATGTCAGTCTGTTGTTTTGAGATTACTCTCAGACTTTCTTACTTTTATGAGAGGCATGCTAGATTAATGTTCGTTCATTTGTCAAAAATGAAACATAAGTGATTTTTTTAAATATCCTATAATTTATTCCAAAGTCAAATCTAATGGATTGGAGAGGTATCTCTTCTTGTTTCAGTTCTGTACAATACTAACTCCTTAGGCAATCACAAAGCATCAAGGGTAGACTGTACTTCCAAATTTTAAAACAGTCTTCAAGCAGTTGATACTGTCTACTAAATATACTGGAGTTCTGGTGTGGTGCTGTGGAATAAGCTCTGGACCACAAGGCCTATTTGAACCCAAAGGTCAGCGGTTCAAACTCTCCACTTGCTCCTTAGAAACCCTATATAGGGTCTCTACAAGACAAGTCAACTTGATGGCAGTTACCCACAACAACAACATTAAATGGACTTATTAAATGCAGGCACTGAATTCAGTGTTTTGCATGTTAATTAATTCTGTTGTCAACTTTTTGGAGTAGCATCACCATCTCATTTGATAGATAAGGAAGGTGAGTGTGTGAGAGATGATTAGCAGTCAGGATTCAAACCAAGACTGGCCAGTTCTATTCCCAGAGTGTTCCCAGCAGGATGTTCCCACACTGGCTCCAAACTCTTTGCTCCCCTTACTAGCTGTGTCAGTACCACTGAAAGCATACAGGCTCTCACAACAGTGCCTCTCTTTGTAGTACCATCCTTCCAGATACGAGTAGGAAAAGTCGCCAAAAGACCAGAGCTGTAGGGAAAACTACCAGCCCTGTCTTCAACCACACCATGGTGTATGATGGGTTCAGGCCTGAAGACCTTACTGAAGCTTGTGTTGAACTTACCGTCTGGGACCATTACAAATTAACCAACCAGTTTTTGGGAGGTCTTCGGATTGGCTTTGGGACAGGTAATATTTGTTAATTCTTCATGAATCAAATTTTCTGGAGATGCTAGTTATTTGTTTGTTGCTCTGCTTCTTTGTAATGAATATAGATATCCTATTTCTGTTAAATGTTAGTAAAATGAGTAAGTAAAGGAATGTTGGATTTGTACCAAGGATTTTTGAAATGAAAATTGTTAACAAAGTGCGATGTCTGTCCACACAGAGTGTATATTGTTGTGGGAGGAAAGAGGAGCGCAATCAACTTTACTCACTCCTAAAAGCAATCAACTTTACTCACTCCCTCACCCCTAAAATGAATTATGACATGTCAAAGCTAAAATTGTACTTTGAATGATAATTTATGGAGCACTGTGTTCTGAGGACTCCTGGGGATGCAGAAGTTAAAGAGCTTGACTGCTAACCAAAAGGTTGGTGGTTCGAACCCACCAGCTGCTCTGTGGGAGAAAGACATTTTCTATGTCTACTCTTTATGGAAATATGTCTATTTCCATAAAGAGTCCAGCCTTGGAAACCCTATGAGCAGTTCTACTCTGTCCTATAAGTTGCTATGATTTGGAATCAACTCTATGGCAATGGGTTGGGCTTGGTGGATTATGTTCTAAGCACTGTACGAGGTGTGCCTTATTTAATCCTCACAACTACGTTATGAGATAATTACAGATGAATGTTATCAGTTTTTTTTTTTACAGAGAGGAACTAATGTTCCAAAAAGTTAAGTAATAGCGTTAGTAAGTGGCAGGGCCAAGATTAGAACCTGAGTTTGTAAAATACTAAAGCCTTCATCACACTTCTTTAGAGATCATGTAGTGCCACCTCCAAGTCAATGCAGAACTCCTCATTCTCCTATGGCTCTGATGGATCTTCATCTAGCCTTTCCATTGATGTGGAGATGTGGAACTATGCCCAATATTGATAGTCCCCAGTATTAGACATTTTAAATGGTTTTAAAGTTCTTTCTTATACTGAATCCCAGATTGCTCTCCTACTGATATTTAAAGTGCCTAGTTGCCGTCCATTGGAAATTTATGCTCCCCGCCCCACGAAGCTATTTCTTTCTAAATGCTGAAATTTTCTTTTCACAGGTAAAAGCTATGGTACTGAAGTAGACTGGATGGACTCAACTTCAGAAGAAGTTGCTCTTTGGGAGAAGATGGTAGAGTCCCCCAATACTTGGATTGAAGCCACGCTGCCCCTCAGGATGTTGCTCATTGCCAAGATTTCCAAATGAGCCCCAAGTCCACTGGCTCTTCCACTGAAAACATCCAAACAGGTGGAATCTGATCTTGAAATTTGGTTATGTGGACAGAGACTCTCATTTTCTATCTACTAGAGAATATAGTATAGCATGTTAAAATCAACCCGCATGTATTTTGTTTGGTTACGAGGCCCATGGAATAAATACAGGCAGTCCTCAGATAATGAACAAGTTCTGTTTCTAAGTTTGTATTCAAGTTAAACTTGTATGTAAATTGAAACATTTAGATAGGGTATTTATCTATGTCAGTCAAATGTTTGGCTTAGTATTAAATAGTGTACCTTTCTATGCATAAAAAAATTAAAGAAACACTTCCAGATACAGTAAAACATCTTTAACATAATAATACAGAAATGATCATAATGGTTCAATGCACATCACAAAGTAGCTTCCCTTTGTTATTATGAACCGTTATAGGTACCTCAGATTTTCAATATCATAGGCTTTATGGGGGTTGGTTTGTAACTGGGGTGTAAGTCAGTAGGACGTTCATAAGCTGGGTACTATTGCCTGTAGAGACAAATTTAAATGTACCTCACTTGTGATACCAACATTAAAGATGTGTGATCCAGTTAGGAAAATCTAATTGTTTCTGTTGCTAAAAAATATTAAATGTGAGGTATTATTAACAAGCAAAATTTCCTAATTTGTCGTCATGTGTTTCACAACACAACCGTGTGCTACAATGAGAAGAGCCTGCCAGTAGCCATTGAAAGTAATTCTTGCAGGAGTTGTAAATAAGTAGATTGTGGAAAAGCGTGACAGAAGTTAGGCTTAAGGGTAAAAAAAGGACAGAACATGAGTGATTATAAAGAATGTGGCCTTGCAAAATTTATCTGCTCTGTAATATTTATTGAGACAATAAATCCTATGTTAAGATTATGAGACTTATTTTCTGCATGTATTTTTTACTTGGAAAACTGCTTTCCCTTTTCCCACGTGTTAAAACAGTCACAGAATTGCTATGGTGCCACCTACTGGCCACAGAGGGAATTCGGTTCTTGGCTTAATTCTACCTAAAATAGGTCCCAAGTCTGTGTTTTATAATAGAGTATGTTTTAAAAACACACACACACAACAAACTTAGATATGGTTGTTTTTCTTAAAACTTTATTATATGAAAGCAGCGTAAGAGTAGTCACAGTCACGTTTTACCCCAAAGTTTTAGAGTGTAAATTGCTAAATTATACTGTACTTCTTATGTATGTATAATTTTCATTAAACATTTTATAAAAAACTTTTAGTGTGAATAAATTATTATTTGACTTAAATTGTAAAATTAGCCTGACTTCTTATTTTTGATAAAAATACGTTATGTTTATTGTTGTTAAGTGCTGTTAAGTCAGTTCCTACTCATAGTAACCCTGTATGGGGTTTCTGAGGAGCAGCTGGTGAGTTTGAACTGTTGATCTCGTAGTTCAACACGACTTGGAGGTCCAGTGCTTTTCCTAAAGCACCACATTCCTTATCAAGGCTAGAGAAATTCCTCTGGACTAATATTTCTTGATACCCTCTTTACTGTAATTCTGGGCATCATGTCTCCTTAAAGGAAAGCTTTGACTTTGTTGCTAAAAGTATAATTTTGATTTTTTTGGAAAACCTATGAAAAAAGGTAATGTGAAAGGTTTTCCATGGAGATTTTTGAGGCTATTTGATTCTGTAAAACTTCATTCCCCTTAGGTCCTAACTAGTTTGCATTTATTCAAATAAGCACTGATTTAATGTAGGTTAAGGAGAACCTGGCTAGTGGGGGGAGGGAGCATGGATCTTACAAGAAACATCTAATAAATGCCATGGAAAACATTACCTTCTCCCCTCAGATGCTAGAGTCCCATACCCACTTGGTAGTATCAGGCATGAATCAAGAACAACCCTTACCCTGGTTTCTAAAGCGTTTAGTCTGTGTCTGTTTCCATTTTCTGCTTTGACCTCAGGAAAGGACAAGATCAACTGAGTGGAGGCCCATCTCCAAGGTCATGCTGGAGCACTGTAGGAGAAACATGAACCCAACCCCAGCTTGTGTCAGGTAACAGCAGTACGAGCTACTTTCTCAGCGGTTCTGTCTTTTATCTACTCAACCACCTCACAGTGTCTTGTCAATTCTGAAACATTCAGATTGGTGTGGTATCTTTAACATAGGGTCAAGGTTGCCTGTCTCCTTCTACCCCCAGATCCCTCCCTTCAAAACAGTAGACACTAGAGCCACCCCACTGCATCTACAGTGCTAAGAAAAGTTGTCCAGAGTTCTTCCCAAGTACTCTAATTCTTTGTAAAGCAAGCTTCTTCAGAAAGTCCATTTTTTGTCGCATTTTTTGCTGAAAAATAAAATTCAAATTGTAAATTTAATCTAATCCAGCTACAGAAGGAAGGCTTGATGTGACCTCCACACATTAGAAAATGTAGACATCCTGAATTCGCTAGTGAACTTAGATTGATAGGTTTTGAGCCAGTGGGACTTTTAGGCAAAGGCCCTGCTAAAACTTAAAGGCATATTTTCTTGAAGTGGAGGCATATCCGTGAACTGCATGTGTTAGGACACTCTTTCAGTCACTAATGGTAGATTTCTATTTTAGTTACCTGATGCTGCTATAGTAGAAATACCACAAGTGGATAGCTTTAACAACCAGAAACTTAGAGTCTCACAATTCAGGAAACTACAAGTCCAAGTTCAGAGTGCTGGATTTTGGGAAGGCACTGGCGAAAGGTCTTTGGCTCCTTTCAGCATCTGTAGCCCCAGTATTCCTTGGAGATTGCCATACATCTTGGCATCAATCTTCCCTTGGATGTAGGAGCTTTACAGTACAGGGGTTCCAGGTCCAAAGGATACACTCTACTCCTGGTTCTTCTATCCTGGTGGTAGTGGCTCCCTTCTCTGCTCAAGTTTCTCTCCTTTAATCTCTTGTAAGAGAAAAGGTTTTAAGTGCCACACCCTTGGAAATCTCTCATAAATTGGATCAGGATGGTGGAGGGATTAAGGGTATATCCCACCCTTAATCCTCTTACTGGTTTATCACATCAAATCATATTATAGGGGACAGCTACATCTCAACGGCCAAACCCAGTCAAGTTGATGCAAAACCTTAACTGTCACAGCACCCAACTAGAAATACACCAAAAGGGGTTTTATTGGGAATATACTGGCCTATCACAGAATTGAATAAGTACTGCAGGAACCTAGATTACTTTGGGGACTCAGGTTGGAGCCAGGAACTCAGATGCTGTCTCATTCATTAAGTTTCTCATCTTCCTCATGGAGTAGAAAATAACACCATAGGCATCTCTAGCATTATAACCTCTCAACTAAAGCATTCTTCTTTCATACATTCAGCTTGACAAATTCATGAGGAAAATGGCAGGCTTTGGTCATATCACTCCTTGTGCCATCCACTGTGGCCTGGAGTAGATGGGGTAAGATCTTTTGAGTGACCCATTCTGGATTATAAGGAGCTCTGGTAGCGTAGTGGTTACGAATTGGGCTGCTAATCTCACAGTCAGTGGTTCGAAACTACCAGCTGTTCCGCGAGAGAAAGATGAGACTTTCTGCTCCCGTAAAGCTTTACAGCCTCAGTACAGTACAGGGTCACTATGAGTCAGAACCGACTCCACTACACATCACCACCACCACCACCAATCTGGAATATGTTCCCATTTCTGTGGCCAGGAAGAGGTGGTCTATCATCAGAAGAACTGGACATTTTTTAGACATGAACATTGGAGAAATCAAGAGCTGGGCAGCTGTTCCACTTACGTCAAATGAAAAAAATTCAAAACTCCATTATTTGAATAATGAAATATTTTTAAGAGCCACTACTGATTCTTCCAGAGAAACATACACATCCCATCCATCATAACTTCTTCAGCTTCTGAATAGGTGGTGAGATCTTGAGAGATCTCCAAGCATGGCTTGCTCACATGACCTAGGCGTCCATCAAAAGCATGACGATGGTTAGCCATGACCAACTTCTTCCACAGAGACTCAGTACCCTTTGTCTCAGCTATGTTTACCAGGATGCTTGGATTTTTTTGCCCATCCCTGACATCTGTACTCACCATCCAAGTAAAAAGCCTCCTGATCATCCTTCTTCTGTGCGCTCATTCCCATTTGGCTCTGGGATTGCTCTCTCATCCTTTCTTCTGTCCCCATTCCCTGTCAGGCTTATTCACTCATTCGACTACACCTACTCAACAGCACTTAACAACAGCAACAATGCTCCTCACTTACTGACTATCATGTATTACACATTCTGCATTTACAATAACAATAAAAAAATAAAATTGGACTATCTTGCACATTAATGACATCTGCCTGGCAGTAATGAATGCCGAAGTGGGAGATGAGAGTAGCGCTGACTGTAATGGTTTCAGTCATGTGTCAACTTGGCTGGGCCGTGATTCTCAGTGGTTTAGCAGTTGAACCTCTGACCTTGCCAGTTCAAACCGACCTCATAGGTCCAGTGCTTATCCTACAGCACCACACCAGAATAATAAAAGGCTTTACAGAGGAGGTGAGTCTTACCTGAGTATTAAAAGATTAGCAAATTGTTAACAAGGGACACACTGGGAAAAGGCATTTCAGGTGATGGGAACATTCACAGAGAGTGTCAGAGGGCTGGTGAGTTGGAGAAATTTCAATAGTTGAGTTTAGCTAAGAAGTAAAATGCCAGGTAGGCCCACAGAGGGGAGATACTTAGAAGTCATGTATGTTTTTAAATTATACATAACTTTAGACTTCTCTGACGTCAAATTGATTCAAGTTTTTCCTTTCTGATCTCATACATAATTTTAAGCTAAGAAAGTTCTCCTTGGCCCAGAGATTTGATGCTAACATTTTTTTTTTTTCCTAGTATTCATCTAGAGATTTTTATTGTAAATTGAATGTAGGTTTGTAGAGCAGGTCATAAGTTCTACATTCAACACACTATACACCTGGTGTCATTTCAGTGATTGCAATCCCCTTAATGTTATGTCATTTATGCACTTCCTCCCTGGGATTCTTGTTTTCATTCCACCCTCCTTCCCAACCTTTCTGAACTTTGTCCTTAGGGAAGTGCTGCCCTTTGGATCTTGAATTATTGACTACTCCATGGTGAGCATGCCTTCCTAGTGTTGTTGCCCCCACCCCATTATAGCTATTGCTTGGGTCAAAATTGACCCATGAGAGTGAATTCTGTTCAGGCCTGAAGAATGACCAAGGGTCATAGTCTCAGGGTTCCACCAGTCTCTATATGACCAGAAAAGTGGTCCTTTTCTATGATTTTCAGTTTTGTTCCATATTTTCTCCCACTTTATCTAGAAGCTTTAATATGATCTTTCTTAGAGCAGTTTGTAGTGTAGCCAGGTACCATCTCATTCTTCTGGTCTCAGGGTCATGGAGACTGATATTCACATGGTTCATTAGGCCATGAGATTAATTGTTTCCAAGCATCTTCTGTTTTTATCACTCTTCTTTTTTCCAGACAGGGAGAGACCAATAGTTGCAACTTAGATGGCCACTCATGTGCTTTTAAGATCCCAGTCATTATTGGCCAAAATAGGATGTAGAACATTGCCTTTGTGTATTATATAATGCCAGTTGGCCATGTTATCCCCCAAGATTATAGTCCTGAGCCTCCAGAGGCAGCAAGCCATTCCCTCAAGGAGTCTGCTACTATCTAAGAAGTATTCATAACTTTGCCTTTGCTTACCACATTTGTGGATATGTTTGCAGTAAAGGTACACATATCCATGTACAAATATTCTTTGTCAGACTTGTATATATTTGTGGATATACTCCCATGCTCCTTCCCACACCCATTCAGCCTGCGTGTCTATCCATGTGTCTACCCAGAGATCACCATTATTGCATATAACAATTATTGCATATAACAATATTTAACTCTATTGTTTTTTGCTATTTCTCTGTCTTTCCATACCTTCATCATTCTTCTGCCAACCCCTCTCTTATTACATATTACCTACTCCTTCACCCAAGTCAGCACACATATCTACCCTCTAGACAGTGAATTTACCACCTTCCCTCCCACTTCAGGCAACCATCAAAGAATGTTTCTTTTAGCGTGAAGACCTTTTCTTGACTATAATAATGGTCTCATACAGTATTTGTCCTTTTGCGTCTAATTTCAGCATAATATCTTCTAGGCTCACCCATGTCATGATGTTTCTCAGATTTATCATTTTGCTGTGTGTATTTTTTTGTGTGTGTATTGTTGTTGTTAAGTACTGTTGAGTCGGTTCCTATTCATAACGACCTTGTGTAGGGTTTCCAAGGAGTAGATGGTGAGCTTGAACCAGTGACCTTGTGGTTCAAACGATTTTGCAGTCCAGAGCATTAATCCACAGCGCCATACCAGGACTCTGTGTGTGTGTGTGTGTGTGTGTGTGTGTGTGTGTGTGTGGTGTTGCTGATTTCTTTGTTCCACATAATTTTCTCTACTGAGTTCATTTTGTTTGTAGGTTTTCTTATCATTTTCTTCATATGTTGTTGTTTTAATGTTTTCGAAATCTTCATGTTTCTCTTTTTTTATTTTGATGAGGTTTATTAATGTTCTTTGAGACTACCTTGTAATTTATTGATTTCTCCCCCAGTTTAAAATAGTCTGTTCTATCTTGAATCAATATTGTTCATTAAGCCTCTTTGTGGTGGTGTTGTGGTTGTGTGCCATGGAGCTGGTTACGACTCACAGCAACCCTGCATAGGGTTTCCGAGACAAAATTTTTACAGAAGCAGAAAGCCTCATATCTCTCCCATAGAGTGACTGGTAGATTTGAACTACTGACTTTCCAATTAACAGCCCATCTCGTTATCCACAGCACTACCGACCTCTTTATAGTGTAGCCTTATTTTACTAATGGATAACAGCAGGAATTGCCAAATATCTAACAGACTATTTATTACCAGATGGGGACCATACTAGGGGAAACCAAGAATGTTTCACTGATTTGTTTTAATATTTCAATATCAAAATTGAGTGTGCCAGATTAGAGTGATACATCTATTTACAAGTCAAGGAATGCCAAGGATTCCCACAAGCCACCAGAAGTAGGAAGAGGCGAAAGAAATCTTCCCTTAGAGCTTTCAGAGAGAGCATGTCCCTCCTAATAACTTGTCAAACCTCTAGCTGTGAGATTGAATTTCTGACTAAACTGTGTGAAACACTATAGGTGCAGACTCACAGCCATTTAGGGTCCTGGCTTTCAGTGTACCGTGGCTACTTTGTATTCATTCATTACACATTTCTCAAGAGCCAACTGTGTTTCCACAAACAGTAATTTATACTTGACAACAGAGAGAGGGAGAGAAAGGAAGAATATGTCGCTACCAGGTTGATTTGTTTGTTACTACCAGAGATTAGCTAGAGTCCAGTTTCTTCCCTTGAAGCTGGCCAGAAATGTGAGTGGGGTTAGCCTCTGTCTACATTATAGCCCAGACATTCGGCTATGAACTGAGAGCTGTGATTGATTAGAAAGCCAAGCACAGCCTGACCAGATTAGCTCTGGGCTCACCCAAGTCTCCCTGTTATTACTTCACAACATTCTGAAGACCTGCCCACCAATCACAAGGCTCCTTACCGGAAAAAAACCAACTGCTGGCAAGTGCCAGGAGTCCCTAGCAACTCCCTGCAGCTTTTGAAACCTGAGGGGGGAAACACTGTGTGGTCAGCCGTTAGTGGACTAGTGGATGAGAGTGACTGTGCATCAGGAAGCGCAGGTTCTCAAGATGGACACACCTCTCCAGTCCACTGAAGAACCCTTAGATAAGGAAGAGAACAAACTGCAAAACCAGGATGAGGAGTTGGAGTTTAAGGAACTGGACGGTCTGAAGGAAGCCTTGTCAAACCTTCGGGGACTGTCTGAGGAAGAGAAGAGTGAGAAGGCAATGCTTCGTTCCCGTCTGGAAGAGCAGTCCCAGCTCATCTGCATCCTGAAGAGGAGATCAGATGAGGCCTTGGAGCGCTGCCAGATCCTGGAGTTACTCAATACAGAGCTGGAGGAGAAGCGGATGGAGGAAGCAGAGAAGCTGAAGGCCCAGGATGAGCAGGCCCGGAAGCTGGAGGAACGCTTTATGACTCTGGCAGCCAACCACGAGTTGATGATCCGCTTCAAAAATGAACATAAGCAGCAGAATGTCAAGTTGAGGGAGGAGAATGAGAAGTTGAGACTGGAAAACGACAACCTCTTCAGTCAAGCTTTAAAAGACCAGGAGGCCAAAGTATTGCAGCTCACCACCCAAAGCGAGATCCTCACTAAGGAGCTGGAGACCTTGAAACAGAGTTGTCTTCAGGATGCCAGGCAGGCACAGGCCCGAGAGAAGGAGCTGCTCGAGCTGCAGAGCCAGCAAGCCTGCGTCCACACCAAGGAGACAAACCAACTGCGCAGCCAGCTGCACAGCCTCAAGCAGCAGCACCAGCAGGCCGTGGAACAGATGGCAAAGGCTGAGGCAGTACATAGCCACTTGAATCAAGAGTTGCAGACCAAGCTGCAGCTCGTCACCCGTGAGAAAGAGGAGCTGCTGCAGCTATCCATGGAAAGGGGCAAGGTACTTCAGAACAAACAGGCTGAGATCCGCCAGCTTGAGGAGAAGCTGGAGACAACAGATATGGCCAGAAGGCATGCTTTAGAGCGGTTTGAGCTAGAGGCAGTGGCTGTGGACAGCAACTTGAGAGTCCGGGAGCTTCAACGCAAGGTGGATGGGATCCAGGAGGCTTATGATGAACTCAGGCTGCAGTCTGAAGCATTTAAAAAGCATAGCCTGGATCTTTTAAGCAAGGAGAGAGAACTCAATGCTAAACTTCGCCATCTCTTTCCATAAGGAAGTTCTCCTTCCTCTAGCCTTTGATTTGGAATGCAAATATTTGTGCCTTAGCCTTATAGCAAGAGTAAAAATTATATTCCATTTATTCTAATTTGAAGCACAAAAGAAACTTAAAGAAAAGCGACTTTACTATGAGATTGTTGTTGTTACTTTTGTTAAGATTAACACAAATGTTCAGTTCTACCACCTAGAATACACAAGATTTATGAGAGTCCTTCTGTGCCTTTGAAATCTTTTTAAATTTTCTGTCAGTAGCTTCCTGGCCCCATAGTTTGTTTATTCTCAGCCTCAAATATCTTCAGCTAGTCTAAGATTTTAAATGAGTGACTTCTGTGATTTAAGTGAATCTTAAATGCACAATGAGATGAAACAAATCAACAGCACAATTAACCTTTGAAGATGGGTAGGCTCTTGTCAGTGAGCTTGTCCAGTGAAGTAGTTAACGGTGTAATAATAACCTGGGTGCCTTCCTGAAATGTGTCTGCTTTTGCAACTGGCTGAGCAATTGCTTGCTTCAGCTGCTGTAGAGCAGTATCTATTTTATTTTATTCTCCAGGTTGGAACTTTATAAAAGTCATTCTCTATAAATATTCAAATAAATGAAATTAGTCAATTTAAATTTTTCCTTCAAGCTTAGATCACATTTCATTTTCCTAGTTTTCTCTTTTAATAAAGGCAGGGTTTAAATGAGCAATCCTGCAAATATCTGAAATTCCATTTACTATTATATAATTGGGGGTAACAAGTGATAGCAGGCTGGGTATGACCCAACTGGCAACTCATACTTTCTGTTTTTTTAAATTTTTTTTGCAAGTAATTTTTTTTTTCCTTTTAGAAAAATAACCTAGATTGATATATGTATATTTACAATATTTTTGTAGGAATAACTAAATATGTAGTTGTAAAAACAAGTATTTATATTTATTTATGTAAAGTTCTAAAAGAGGTAGTTATAAGAGTATACTTTATACTATCTTATTTCTCTCTTTTTAGTTATTGATGTAAAGACATTACTATGACTCCCTCTCAAAATAGATTGTAATTTAAGATTTTCCTCATTTATTTGGTGCCAAGAGTGCCCAAAGTTACATAACTATTTAAATTTTTAAAAAATATTACTTGTTGCTTTTTACTTAAATAATTTCCAAGCAAGTATAATTTAACTTCAGTCAATTTTTAAAACTATTTCTTCACACGTCTATTAAAATTACAGTATTAAAATTGAATGTTTCTGATCAAACTAGAAACCACAGAGAGGACTGTTTATTTCCTCTTACAGATTACCAAGAATCAAAGTATAGGAGCTAATTCAACCATGGCTGCCCTTTATTGAGTCCATTATTATTTATCTTTGTGCTGAAACACTTCAGATGGCTTGTTTTTTTTAAAAAAAAATACTTAAGTCTGTTTGAGAAGGTATAATAGTCATTCCTATTTTAAGGAAAAGAAAACAGGTTCAGTCATTTACTCAAGTTCATTTAGGCACTGGGGAAACAGGGATTCTAATGACTACATGGCACTCAAAGATTTATGAACTCTGGTGTGGCACTGTAGAATAAGCACAGGACTGCTTACTAAAAGGTTAGCTGCTCCTCGAAAACCCTATACAGGGTTGCTACAAGTTGGAACCGACTCGATGGCACAAAGCAACAATAACACTGGGTGCCAGGTGCTGGGCTAGGGACTGAGAATAAGCAGGGATATGTATGTTTTCTGCCCTGGAAAAGCCTCCTCACAGTCTAGAATAGGAGTAAAAACAATTAACAAGACTGTGGTGCTATGAGATCTTGGGGAAAAGAAGCAACAGTATCTAACTCTCCCTGAGGATAAGGTTTGGGATGATGGGGAAGACTGCTAAGGGTGACTTACGAGAGAAACTGAGAAAAGCGCAGACTATTTGGGGAAATCAAATAGTTGGGGCAAGGTGCAGAGAGGCATGGCTACACATAAAGCTGGAAAGGTAGGGCTTGAAAGCCATGCCTTGCATTTGCAGAAGGTCAAGAACTCAAATAGCAGACATGGTCTTCTTCTGATCTAGGTTGTCTCTGTGGGGGGAGATTGTGCATGCCTGTCAAAATCACCCCGCCTTCCTGCCCCAACAGTTGCTAGGTGGTTGCAGGGAAGAGGCACCTGAGCAGAAACCTGAAGGTCCTAGAAGCAGTCTGTGGGTGAAAGGGGCAGGGAATACTGGAGTCCCAGGTATAAGTATGTGGTTCAGAATAGGACTTGGGCCAGGAATTCCTTGCTTGGTGAAGGGTGGAGGGCACATAATATCATTAGAGGAATGTGTGAGTTAGGGGTGACACTGTCAGAGAAAGTGATGCGAAAGGTGTATAAAATTTTTGTGTAGTATTTCAGCAGAAATTTATTTTTCATAAAAATATCCCTGTAATAGCAAAAACAGTTTTTGTAAGCCTAGCTTACATGTATCAGTATACCTACAAGACTAACACTCTCTGCTGATTTACTTTTATGAACCAAATGGAGTTCTGGTGTGGCGCTATAGGATAAGCACTTGACTGCTGACCGCAAGGTGATTCAAATCCACCAGTCATTCCTCAGAAACTTCATACAAGGTCACTATGAGTTGAATCCAACTCAGCAGCACTTACCAGTAACAACAATGTGCTCTCGTCAGAGTTGTGGTTATTACCCAATTACAATGAAGCTTCAAATGAAATGCATGCTGCTGTTTTCATTGTGTCTGGTGTTTTTATAGTCACTGATGTTGCCAAAATTTATGGTGTTTCAGCAACAATATTATAGTAAATAGTAATCGTGAACCTTTATCAACTTTTTTTGGAGTCCTGGTGTGGTGCTATAGTGCTTACTGGACTACTAACTAAAAAGTTGGCACTTCAAACCCACCAGCCACTCCTTGGAAAATCTATACAGGATCATTATGAGTTGGAACCAATTTGATGACACACAACACTAACATCAACTTTTCTGAGAAATGAAGTGGTAAAGGAAAAGAAGGAGAAAAATCAAAAAGGCTCCCCCTCAGTTACTAATACGTAATCATGTAATTTAATGTGGAAAGATTTTACAAAGCAGTTTTGTTGGTAGTAATTATATAAGCTAAGAACTACTATATATAAGCATTATACAACTATATCACAGTTATTCTATGACTGAAGTTGATAATACGCATCACTAAGGATTCTGTATGGTTGGGATATAAAAAGGTCTGTGGGAGAAAGGAAGTACACCAAGAGTCCCTAAAACACTGTCCCCTGAAATACTGGTGCAAGAGATAGAGCTCAGTTGCCTGGGTCCAAAGCTATGTTTAATTTGTATTTGCTTGAGTTATATAAAATTGCTGTTATATAGGTCATAAATGGACAGGGGCAATTTCATAAAGTGCTTTCTTCTGAAAAATTTTTGAGTGATGAGGATAGAAGTTTAAAGACTGATTGAGGAAAAAAAGCCCACAACATAGACCAAGAAGTAAGAGGAATGTGCACCAGCCATATGTCAGCTAATTTTTGTTTCACTGTTAGTTTTTCAAGAGAGGTGCAGTATTTTTAATCTCTTTTACAGATGAAAAGAGTGAGTCAGAGAGAGACAGTGACTTGCCTAGTGGCATGGAGATTTGGAGTCGCATGGGTGAGATTTGAACCCACTCCTCTCTGGCAGGGTGGGATTCCTGGGTATGCAATCTGTGCACTTGGGTTGATGCTCTGCTGTTGTTGTCTTGAAATTCTATACAAGTTTTCACGAGGCCATTCATATTTATATTTTGTGCAAAACCATAAACTTTTGTTGTTGAGTTGTTTCTGACTCATGGTGAACCCATGAGTTACAAAATAGAACTTTTCCATAGGGTTTTCTTGCCTGCCATGTTTTTCTTCCTGGAGTTACTGGTTGAACCACCAACCTTTAGTAGTCAATTGTAAACCATTTGCAACATCTAGGGAATCATTCAATTTATACAGTTCTCAAATTATATAGCTGGTCTGATTTCCAGCTCTCAAACTCATGCTTTCTCCCATCACACAAACTACCACAAAATGATGGGTTTTTTAGAACTGTTTTATTGTGAATTGTTGTATGTTGCCTACCCTGTCACCTATGTTAACCCTCTAGACCATGAATCACTTTCCCTAACTGCTCCCTCACCCTGTAACCATCATAGATTGCTTCTTTTATCAAAAAAGCCTTTTCTTAAATTTTTACATTGATATTATACAGTAATTGTTTCTATACAGTAATTGGTCTTATACAGTAATTTCATTCAGAATAATGTCCTCCAGCTTCATTCATGTTGTGAGGTGTTTCACAGATTCATCGTCATTCTTTGTTTCTTAGTATTCCACTGTATATATGTACCAGTGTTTGTTTAACTATTGCATTTATTTTGTCTGTTTGTTCTTGTAGTGTTTTCCTGAATTCTTATAAAGTTTTTTTCTGTGTTCTCCTTGCTTTTTTCAATCTGTCTGTCAATCCTTTGAAGGTACCTAAATATCATTCTTTTGAATTCTTTTTCAGTTAGTTTCGTGACAGTTTCTTCCTCAGAAATGTTTTCTGACTGCATCTTGGTCATTCATTTGAGCCAGTCTCTCTTGTTTCTTCATGTGAGGTAAAATTGTCTGTTGTCTCCTGGGCATTTAATTGATGACTGCGTGTTGATGTGTTCTTAGGCTCTCATTAACTGTCTCCTATGGGTGTATTTAGAGAATGGAAGCATATACACCATTCTTGTTCACCATTTGTGCACCTCAGTTTAGTGTGAATTTGGCTGATGTTGGCTGCTGTCTATTGTTGATCAGGTGGTATAGGAACTAGTATTGGCTCTAGCCCTGTGGGTGGAGTTGTAGAGGGTATGGTTGTGGTTGGGCTATATGTACAAGATTGTTGTCGCCTGTCAGTGGGAGAAAGACAACCCTTCCTACACACACACACAAGAATACAAGATAGACTAGATAAACAAGGGCCCAACAATGGAAAGAGAAACAAGAAACAAAAACAGGCAGCAACCAGAAAAAAACCAATAT